TTTCTTGTCAATGTCAGCAAACTTTTTTTCTAACATATTTTTAGAAAAATTAAAATTTTTATCTTTTTGAAAATGTCTAGCGATTTCGCTATCTATATTCGAGACAAGCTTTTCGACAGCAAAACATCTGTCGACCATAAAATCTTACATAGTGTAAACAAGAAAGGTGAATTTGTTCTAAAGTTCTGTTTCTGGGAATATGACAAGAACCATAAAACATTAGGCAGAGAAGTCTTTAAGTTTGTCAATGACAGACTTGTTGACAGAGATGACGCCGATTGGAAAGATGAAGTCCAACAAAAGTTCTTAGAATGCAAAGAAGGCACATGCGCTGTTCTTGAAGATGAAATAGAAAACAGAATAGAAGAGCTATTAAAGGACAAAGAACTTTTACATAAATATGGTTGCGAAATTTGACATAACTCCACCAGAGAAGAAGAAGAAGAGAGAAAAGAAAGAAAAGAAAGTAGAAGAAAAGAAAGTAGAAGAAGAGAAGAAAGAACCAGAGCCAGTTCCAGAGAAAAGAAATTTGACATGTAAAAATAAAATTTTATTTTTAGAACATTTCTGGGTCAATGTCAATGTTCTCTTCCTCTTTAGGAGCAAACACTGGCTTAGACTCTAAAATCTTTTTACCCAATTTACCTTGAACTTCAACTATCTTAGACTCATAATATTCATAGTCGTCTGCTTTCTTTGGTTCATAAGGTATAACAAGTTTGTATGCTTTGCCTTCTTTAAGGTTTGAAAACCTTCTGTCAAAATTTTCTTTGACTGCTAACAAACCTTCTATGTCTAAGTCTTCAAATTTCGCACCATTTTTAGTCACAATAGCAAACTTAACTGGTTCGATGTTCCAAACTTTGTCAAATGTAGACTTTTCAAAATGGTAGAAGTAAACATTCAAATAAGCGAATGGAGCTAGTTATCTTTGACTTCTGTCATATATTTGTTGACTGAAATATATTTCGTCATCTTTTCTATCGGATAAAAAAATATTTTTTTTAAATTTACTCAGAAAAATTATTTCTTTCTATATTTGCCATTCCGAACTTGAAAATGTTTTATACCAGCATAGAATTTTTCTCTAGAGCTTAGTCTTATATCGTTTTCATGACAATATTTTCTATATTCTTCATATAAAGCCTTTTTTTCATACATTTCATAAGGACAATCTAACCAGAATAGCGCATATCTATTTTCGTTATCTAGGTCTTTTCCAACAAACTCAGCGTACATTTCAAATAAAATAAAAATATATTTTTTATAAAATTTACTCAGAAAAATTTTTCTTTGTATATACGCCGTTCTGTATGTCTAAAAATTTTTGACATTTGCCAAGAATGTTCGTTTAGACGCTGCCATATAACCATACTCTGACAATATTGTTTATATTCATCGTACAATGACCTTTCATCTAAACACTCAAAGTTAGTCTCATCTATAAACAGTTCATATACACTCTTGTTTGCTTCTAACAATGTTTGTCTTTCTTCGGTATGTGGAATTTGTCTTGGATTGAACTTAGAAATATCTAATGTCATAAATATGAGAACAAGTGGTTGTAAAAGTTAGGTGTCAAAGTTTCTGCTAAGTCGTCAAAATATTCTGTATCTTGCATATGAGAATCTGACGTTCTGACAACTACATATCTTCTGTCAGAACTTTCTAACTTCATCGGAACAACATTGTTTGAAACCATGATGAAATTTGCAACATTTTCACAAACTCTTTTGGTCTTTATACTTTCTTTCAACAACTCCAACTTTGTCTGTTATAAGACTCTTCAAAGCATCTGAGTTCAAAACTTTTGTTGTATCTATACTTTGAAGTTCATTGCAAACTATAAGTTTCATATTCTCTATTGAGGAGTTAAACTTACCGCAGATGTTTTCTAAGTTTGTCATATTCGGGTTCGAATAGCCCTCTAACAGTTTGCACAAAATATCTGTAAAGAATGTGTTCTTACCAGTTCCTTGTTTTCCAATTATAATGAGAGCAGTTTCATTTTTAGCACTTGGATGTTGTAAGATGTTTGCAAACCAACATAAGATATACTCATAAACCTTTTCGTTTCCATTGCATATAATTTCTTTGACATGGTCTAACCAAGCTTCTATAATATTTTCTTTCCATTCTACTTGTTCATATTTATATCCAGTGAAGATAGAATAGAAGTTTGGAGATGGTGTATAGAACTTTATACACGAACTGAAAAATCTTCTAACTTTGACAATAAGATATCCCAAGCATCTAACATCTTCATGCCAACTTGTACGACTTTTATTTTCTTAAGTTTCTGTCTACATTCTTGTTCTGAAACTATTGTCGCTCTTGGTTTGTTAAAGACAACATCCCATTCTTTCATAACATAACATTCTGGGGCAGAGTCGACATAAATGACTAAACGTTTCAAATTCTCGACTGCTTTGTTATAGTCTCTAAATGGACACATATTTCTGAACGCTTGGAAGTCATAAAAATCTGAAACGTCTATTCTGTACATTTTATAAAAATAAAAAAAATATTTTTTTATTCTTGACTTTGTTGTTGCATTTGTTCCATTTGTTGCATTTGTTGTTCTTGAGCTATTTGTTGTTGAAGTTGTTCTTGTAGTACAATACTTTCACCAGTTGCATCTTCCAATTCGAAACTTTCTGCCGTCATTGACAAATACATAGGACATAAAAGTTTTACAGGAACAAAGTTTGCGTCGACTAAGGTTAAGTTTATGTTTGCTAAAGTGTTTGAGTTCACTAAAGCTGAAAACTCTGCATTCGAATGAACAATAGGCAAACCAGCAGAGAAAGTGTTGTTTATACGCATGAGTATCTTTTGGTCATAGTAGTTTCTGTCGACATTCGAATAGCACTTTGAACCTAAGTTTGAAACAATATATAAAATAGGTGTACTTAAAGTCAATGGAACAGACATTCCTTGTATGACACCTTTTCCTGTTATAGGAAACTGTTGGTAGTAAAAACCAGATATAAGTTTTGTATTATAGCTCATATCGTTTATAGTAAACTCAGTCGGACATCCAAACATAATGAAACCTGCTCTAGTTGCAGCACATGTTACATCCGTCCTTAAAGTATTAAATAAGTCAACAAAACCTGTTGGTGGTATATCTGAGTAAGTATCTTCAAAGAAGTATTTTTTACCATTCACAACAACAAAGTCTTCTGGTGTCAAAAGAGCAAAACAGGCTTTAGTCGTCATCGTGTTTAAGGTCAGTTTACAATATCGTCCTTGAGGACTTTGTAAGTTTGTTGTTATAGAATTATATGACTCAGGGTTTTTAGTCGTAATAGTATAAACCACTATGTCTTCTGCCATTTACTTAGCAAGTAAATTTTAATGAAATGTTGTGGTCGTCAAATATTTTTATGACGTCTGGGAAACTATATTTAAGTTCAACGTTTCACCTCCTTTCATAACGTATATCTTGTCAATGACATTGTATGAAACACCAAGCAAGCAATGTCGGGTTCTATTTCTTTGATGTTTATATCGTCTGCCTCTGTCAAAAGTTTCAATAGTTCTTTCAAAATTTCATGAGGTGCGATGACATATGAGTTCACTTTTACAGGGTTGTGCTCAACCAAGTTTAACATTATACCCAAAGCCTGACAAATCTTCTCCTGAGTTTTAAGTTTGTCTTTAAGTTGTTGGTAGTCGTTTCGAATATCTGCAACAGAACTTAAGTCTCTGCTAACTTCAGGATATGTTGGTTGTTCTTTTACAGGAACTATTGTTATACCATCTTCGTCTTCGTATGGTTTCCCCACTTCAACATCTCTGTCTTTGACATTGACAACAACACTTTGACTGTTTGTTTGAGTTGGTGAATTTAACTTCACATCTGCCACCGCCATTAAACCTTTTGAAACACTTACGCTTCTATTTTTCGGAAATGACATTTTACTTAGAATAAAAAGATGGACGTATTCGAGTATCTCTTCGAATTGAAGCAGAACAAAGTTTACACACACAAACAATACAATACATTGACAGAATAGTTCTTTATACAAACAATGGAAAATGTTATAGAATAGCAATCTTTGCTGAACCAAAATATTTTCATAAAGCAAAGAAGTTGGTATAACTGAAATGGTGAAAGTTCTTGAAGCAGACAAAAATATAACAACAAAACTTACAGATATTTCTAAAGGAAGTTTATAATACAATTTTATGTCAAAACTGGCGTACTGTCAATATTTGACGGAGAGAAGTCAGTTCAAGAACAACTTACTGACCTGCTGCCAAAATCTGCTCGATGGAAGCTGTCGTTATGCCAATCTGAGGAGCCCCAGCAGGTTTCATCGAACGAATCTTCAAAAGAGCATCTTCCGTGAAAAGTGCTATTGGTTTTGTAAACTTCTTTGCTTCAATTCATTTGGACCGTCTCTGTCACCAGTATATTGTATTTGAACTGTACCAACAGTTGAAATACCACCCATAAAGTCTTCTGAGTCAGCAAATGGAATGCCAAGCCAAAAGTTTGAACGGTCTCCATTTGTATATTGAGTTTTTGAGCTCCTGTATGAGTCCATACTTTCACATATGGCATAATAGAACTTTGCATTTCAGGGTTAATGGTTGTTGTGAAGTTGTTGTTAAAGTTCATAGCATCTAATGTCAAGTTGTATGACCTCATATCCTCAACTGTAGAATATTCTTCTCTTGGATAGTATTTGCCATCTATGTTTATATGGTATTTAATACCAGGGTTGTAGAAGCAAGAATAGTCATTTATAGTTCGTCTGAACAGTACAAACATAGTATCTGCATGTTTCATTGCAGTTGTTAAAGCAATATCTGTTCTTGCACCTGGGTCAGCACTTTGGTTTCCAACTTCACCTGCAAAGTCTTTGACAGATATTTGGTGTATAGGGAACATAAGTGGAACTGCAATATATTTGGCAGCTAAAGCATTTGAAATATCTGGGTCCAACATATAGACTGCAAGTCTGCTTTCTATTCTCTTGCATTCAAACTTTTCGCATGTGAACTTAACTGGGTCCCAAGCAGTTCCAGCAGCATTGAAGTAGTAGTTTACTTCAGTGTTGAGGTTTGAGAAACCAAAGTCTAAGTCAACTTTGTCTTTGCAAAATTCGGCGAATGACGTTTGATTTGCTCCCTTTACGTCTGTAAGAGTGAATGGGTCTTGTGTTGGTGCAATGACTAAGTTATTTTTGCTTGGAGTAAGTTCGATAGAAATTTTTCCTGCCCAGTTTGGCAAGTATCTTAAAAACCTGAAGATGAGGAAAGATGACAAAGGAACTCTAAGTTTCAATTTTACTTTGGTTACTGCTGCTGCAGTTTGTCCAGAAAGGTTAACATAAACTCCTGGAACGTTAGGGTCAAGTCTTCTTATTTTCTCAATAGTTGCATACTGGTCTGTTTGTTCTCTAGCTTGTGGTTGTACTGAGTTTCTCAAAGCGAACCATTCATAGTTTGCCCATGTTACTGTTTGAACTAAGTCAGAGTTAGAATATATCTTATATCCCATGAAAACTTCTGGAGCATATTGGTATCCGACATAGAAAATTCCATTGCAACCTTTCTTGTCAGACAACTTGGCAGAAGGTTTTATTTCAATGTCTTGTTCCACGTATAAGAAAGAGTTGTCAATAGAAATTATATGAAACCTGTCGCAAGCAATATCTACTGTTGTTGAAGAACCTTCTCCAAACTCACCTACGTTTCCATAAGAAACAGCAGTTGTATATTCGTAAGTTCCAGGAACTATTTCTGACCTTCTAATGGCATTGTCGCATTCGTTATACCATTCGGAAACATTTCCATTCATAGCATCCAAAACTGTTGGCGTTATATTCTGAGCGGCGTACATTTCATATGAGTAAAAATATAGAATAGTTGGATTTATATGTCATAATAGAACCCACGTGGACCAAGCTTTACTTTCTTCCTGACTGAGTTTTTAACTCTTCTTTTTCCTTCATTGCCCTCTGCTTGAAGTTGTTGCATCTTTGCATTATGTTCATCTAGTATGTTGCAAATTTCCCATGTCCTTTTTGCCTTTTGGCTCTGGTCGCCCATCTCAGGTAACCTATATCCTAGAAAGAGTTTGTCATAGTCTGTATTTGAGTCTTCGCGTATTGTTTGCATGACTCTTTCCTGAGTTTCCGGTTCAAGCTCTTCAAACAGTGCCTGTCCATATGGAATATGCTCGTTTCCAAATATATGTTTTTGTAGCCATTCTGGTTTTCTTTCCATGTTACCAACTATATCTTTTGTGAATGGGAAAGCTTTTACCCAATCTTTCAGTCTTGCGTCGTTTATTTCTGTAGTTGGTTTTATTTTGTCAAGGAACATGTTTTTCAATACTAACATTTCATTTGGTACTGTCCATTTGAGTTTTCTTAAATATTCATCCCTTCTCAGTTCATTGTCTGCAAAGTAAGTTTTTATGACATTTTGTAAACTTTCGTTTGCAAGGTCATGTACAATAGGTTCTCTTCCTTCGCTGTCCCTAACTTTCTTTCTAAACTCTTCACCAAATATACCATCTCTATGGTTCTGTGTAGTTCTTTGAGATAAATGTTCTAGAACGTCAGGTGTTATATTTCCATCAGCCATGTTCATTTCATACTGGTTCAAAATATCTGCATCTTTCATATCTTTCAATGGCATTAAAGCCGCGCTGAAAATACCAGCTATATCTGGTTCACCATTCACTTCCATTGCGTCTACAACTTCTTGGAATTGAGGTTGTAAGTTTATGAACCACCTATCCGGATTAGCTTTATGACCCCATCTCATTGTAGTTCCATCGTCTGCAGAAACAAAAGTAGGTTTGTTTCCATCTTGGTTAGGTTCTGAATGAACTTTAAACAATGTTTCATTTCTATATGTTTTCTTGAAATTTAACCTTTTATTTTCACCGAGTTCATCCGAAGATTGAACGTTAAATGCTCGTAAGTAAAAAGGGTTGTTGTATTTGTGTACATTTTTTTCAGTTCTTCCATTCTATGCTGAATATTTTCATCTGGTGTTGGAGTCTTTTGTATGTCGGCGAACATTTTTCGATATTCTTCTACTATGTCAGCCGAATTTTTTTTAGACTCTTGGAAATATTCCATATTCTCCGCATACTCTTGTTGAGGGTCAAGATTTTTCGGCTGTTCCAAATCTTCATCTAGTTCTGTGAAGTTAGTTTCCAAAGGAGTGACTTGTTCGTTTCCTTCAGGCTCTTCTAGCTGTTGTTGCTGAACTATTTCTTCCATGTCTGGTTGTATCTGAACTATTTCTTCCTGTGGAGTTTCTTGTACCTCATCTGCTGGCATTTCATATATTCCGAGACCGTTTTTAACAATTTCCCTATCTACGTCATCCGCATTCATAAGCTTTTGTTCTTTCGTTCCGTCTCTATTTTTTACGCGTTTCATGACGAAAGTTGAATTGTCATTTAGCTCTGACATCAAATATCTCGGAGTAAATTCATCCATGTCATTTGGATGATATGCTATTAAATCATATCCCTTTGCGAGCTTGTATTTTCCAGGTTTGAGATTATATCCGTTTTGGTGCTGAGCCATAAAGCTAAATAGGTTCGGGTCAGTATTTCCATCCTTGAACTTTCCAATAGCTTCTTTATATCTGTCACTAAAGTCAACAGTATCTGGGAAACCACACTCTTCTTTAAGCATTTTTAAGAATTCTTGGTTTCCTTGTTCTCTACTTCTTTTATGTCCTTGCTCTGTTTGTGGTTGTTGTTGTGCAGGGTTTTGAACTGTTGGTTGCTGTGCTGGTTGTTGTGTTGGTTGTTGTGTTGGTTGTTGTGCTGGTTTTGGTGCATGCCTGTGTCTATGTCCATGTGACGATGTAAATGTTTTAGGTAGTCCTGGTGCAGGTGCTTCTCTTGGAGGGTTTGGTGGTATATAAATTCCACCAGCTGGCACATATGTTCCATCTGCAGCGTAATGTCCTACCTGACTTTTCGTTCTTAAGAAAGCATTTACTAGGTCTGTTTTGGTCTGTTGTAACTCTTTTTCTTGACTTTCCACAACAGTTGCTCTAACGGCGTCATAGGCGCTTTGAACTGCCTGTCTCGTTGCTGCATCTGTTATTTTCGTCATATTTTGTGCTACTTCTTTTAACTCTTTGTCGAAACCTTCAGACTTCAGTTTCTTTCCAGATGAGAAGTCGTTCACTTGTTTCACCTTACTATGAAGAGCTTCGAAGGCGTTCTTAAAGTCAGCATTTGTTAAAGCTTCATTTGAACTGTCTTCATCCGCTTGTATTTTTGTCCTTATTGACCCTATGAGTTGGGCTGCTTTAGCGTTGGCTTGGGCATCTAACCAGTCATTGTTAGCTTTTATATATTCTGCGCTTTTCATTGCCTTTTGCATAGCCGCGTCGTTATTTTTACTTTCTTGTGCTAAGTTTTCATACTGTACGGTTTGGTTTTGCAACTGTAAAAGTTTTTCTGCCTTTACATTTGCTTCAACTTCTTTTTTATACTCATCGCTATCCATATATGTCTTCAGGGCTTTTTGTTTTATCTCTTCATCTTTCAGTACTTTATATTGAGTAGTATGGTTTTTCAAATTTATGACATCTTGTTCCATTTTTGCTACTTCTGCTGCTTTTTCTGACACTTTTTTTGCATATTCCTCTGTACTTAGTTCTTTCAGTTGTTCTTCTTTCTTCTTTTTCTCTACGTTTAACTCATTGAGTTTCTTTGTGTGTCTGTCATATTCTAGTTTCTTTTCGTTTTCACTTATTTGCTTCTGTATGTCTATGTTTGACTTTTTGACATCTGTTATTTGATTTTTGAGTGAACTCAAATTCATTTGACTTTGAGGGTTATAGGCTGTTCCGTCTGCAGCTCCACCATAGCCTGCCATTTTCGCTAAAAGTGCCGCTCTTAAACCTCCACTCTGTGCACCAATGACTCGGTTTAAAAGCATAGGATTGCTTGACATTTGTTGCAACATAGTGGGGTCATTCAGCATTTGTTGTTGCAACTGTTGTTGTGGTGTCAGTTTTACTTTTGGATGTTTCAATGCTCCCTTCCTCTTACGTATATTCTTACGTAGCTTACGTGGCATTTTAAGTGAAGTTAAAAAGCGGTTTTTGACAGATGTTTGTATGACACTTTTTGTTCAGCTCAAAAAACTACTCGGTCAAAGTGTTGTCAGTTTTGTAAAATATTTGTTATATCGTTCTATAATATTTTTTTAAAGTACTCAAATATATACTTTAGAAAAGTGGGTCTATCTCTATGAGCGTTGACGATAGACCATTATTTGTTCGAGCAAATATATACTATCGTATGTTAAAAATATTTTGACAAGTGTAAAGTATGTGTAAGCTCCTTTCTGTCAAAAGTTTGTCCGATGGTGAAAAAAGTATATATAGAAAACAAAAAACGTTTATAGTTCATTCAATATTTGAGATGGAACGGTTTGCCAACGGTAACTATTAAATAAAATAAAAAAATAGAGGGGGTTACCGTTGACGAAAACGGTTTATTTTAAACTTTTCTATGAGTAGTCCGAAAAAACAGTTTATTTTTGTCTAATGGCATTCGCTAGCGTGTTCGCTCCAAATTCACCTGAAGAAATTGCTTGCAGACTTTCAGCGCCCACAGGTTTAGAGCCTCAATATCAAACTGCAGCATCTACACATTCTCCAAGCAGAACAGACAATTCAAATTCAAATTTGTCCTGCAATTCGCTCAATCCAAAGCCACTTTCACTACCAAAAACAATACCAAACGAGCTCCGTATTACAAAGAACCACAGCAACGCTGAACTACGCAAAATACTACTCAGATTGTCTGAAGAATACTTCAATTCAAAGCCAGAAGAAAGAGTTGCTGCAACTTTTAACAAAGAATATTGTGAACAACTCAACAAAGTTCTTGCAGACTTTACCAAACTACAAAAAGAAACACCTGACCCATTCGAATTAGGCGACACAATTGTCAACTATTTTCCAACAATAACAAAGATAGTGTTTGACAGAACTATATGTCAGCTTATTGAAAGTCTTCCACCCAAAGCTGCAAAAAAAGTCGAACAGTTTTGTGTCGAATTCAAATTAAAGAGTTACGGATATCAAGATGACGAAGAAGAACGTGAGTACGGACAAGAAACAGCAAAATGGCAATGTCTTAGCTCACTCAACCCCAAGTTCAAACCATTATTTTACTCAGACAACAACACAATTCAAGTACGCAAAATTGCTATTCATTTCGTTAACCAAGCAGAAGACATTGAAGAAGGAGACTCTATCTCAGTTTATGTTTGCTACTGCAAATTTTTCAAGGACGAATTTGGAGGACCAATTCTCATGCATGTCTTCAAGCCACATCAGCAACTCTACGTTGAAACTGAAATAACACTCATGCATGGAATGTATCTCAAGTTTGAAAGCCAATTGGAAAACACATACAACATTTGGCTTTCATACATTCAATTCGATACACCAGATGACTTTGATGTTGAAGAAGAAGACTCTACTCAAGAAGATGAACCACAAGACTCACAATTTTCCGAATAAAAACCTCATTTTATACTAAACATCTTCGGGGCTAGAAGGGGCGCAGCCCCTGGAAGCCCCACTACCTTTTTTTTTTTTTTTTTTTTTTTTTTTTTTTTGTAGATTTTTTAGGATAATAATATATCAATTATTTTCTCATGATTTGTCAACAATTGAAACGAAGTTGTCAATTGATGGAACCCTTTTCTTCAATGCATGAGTTGATTCTTGAATGATTAAAGCTTAAACAAAGTTAACAATTTTTTTTAGTTCCTCTCAAAATTGAATTAAAAGAACTTTTGATCCAAAAAGTGTCGGCTTCATTTTTCTTCATGCTATCTTTACTTTGCGTGAGTAAACTTTCATCTATTGGATTCTATTCAGTTATACTAAACCAAAGTTATCCAAATATTGAAGTTGCTACATCCGAAAGCAACAAAGTTTATTTAACTTATCAATTACCAAAATATCGTTCATCTTCTCCTACTGTATCATTCAAATATTACAATGATTCAATTAACCATACTTTCTATTTCAATGAAAGTACTGGAATTACGTTCACAAAAACACGCTTTAATATTTCATTTGAATCAAAATATGACGCAATACAGTTCAACATATACATTATGGATTTCAGAGCATGCAACTATTCATTCCTTACACTCGGCAATATGGAATATCGTTTGTATCCGTATAAAGCAGGTAAGATTTGTGTTTTCCCACATAACATACCAAGGAAAGTTAAGTTCCTTAACAAACGCGAAGATATAGTTAGCAATTACGCTTATATTGGTAGCCATACTGTTGCTTATTCCCCAACAATTACTGATATCAGTGATATCTCAGTTCTTGTTGCAGATTTTAAATATGAATATAGTAACAGTATTGTCATTTATGACTCGACAGATAGAAACATGGATGAAGACTGTGAACATCATTCTTTCATGATTCTAAATGATACAGGATTAATTCCAGAATATAAGTATTTTGATGGATACACATATCCTTATTGCCTTGAGAAATCAGACTCTTTAAGATTATTTTTGATTATCTTCTTTTCTATCTTTGGAGTTGTTGTTATTACTACAACAGTCTTATGTATTGTCTGTTGCTGCTGCCTCAGACCAAGGTCATTGCCCCCAGCTGCTCAACCAACACAAGTATACGTCAATTATCCACAATACGCGCAACCAGCTCCAAATCCATATGCAAACAATCAAGCACAGAATCCTCCATTATATACCCAACCACTTTTGCAGAATCAACAACAACCGGCATCAGCTCAAGAACCATTAAAGAGTCCTTACTAATTGGCTAATTATGTATATTGGTCAACCTCTTCATTAAACTAAAACTAACTTTCTATTATTATCAATTATTTTTTTTAATTCCTTCCTATTGTAAGAATAAAATCTTCTACGTCATACTAATATATGGACAATCTGAAGCTGGATGAAAATAATTGAAATATTGAATTCAATTTAAAGCAATTTCATATGGATAACCTATTAGATTGATATACCTAAAGTTTAAAAATACGTACTTATGTATGTCTATGACTAATAATGTTTCTCTGCAAGAAATATTAAATTCAATTCGCTCAAAAATGTAATATTTGAATTATTTCTGAAATAATTTGCTTATGTTCACATATGTAACCATGAATATCACAGTTACATTCTTCAATTATGAAGTAAAAATTTCCAAAATAAACAAAAATAATTGAATATACAAAGGAAAAATATATATTTCATTGGAAAATTATGAAGATAGAAAAATTTGGGAATCACGAATATGATTTATAATTAAAGTAAACACTTGTATACATATTTTAACCTTCAAAAATTTGATTTTGGATCACAAACATTATCGAAAAAAGTGTCATTAAATTATGTTTTCATTAATTTGTTTATCAACTTATAACACACAAGGATTTTACACCGTTACATTAAACAATAATAATCCTTCAATCGAAATTAATCCTTCTCTCACGAACTCACAAGTATATCTGACATATCAAATGCCAGATTATACGTATAATTCTCCTACATTAAATTTTACATACCCTGATAAACAGAAAGCATTTTCTACTTCGTTTACCTCCAGTATTGGAATCGTATTTAAATATTCTCATGTCATAATTGCTTTAAATTCAGAACTTTCATCAATTCAATTTAATATTTACATTATAAGTAATAAAATATGCGATTATTCATTTCTTGCAGAAAGAAACATCAAGCTTCACATAAGTCCGTATTCTTCAAGCAATATTTGCGTTTTCCCTCATAATATTCCAAGTAAAGTAAAGTTTGAGAGCGATTATGTTCATGTAACGATGTTTGCTATCAAAAATCTTAATGACTACGATTATTCTTCAGAGATCACAGATTTTGTCCAACCTACAATTCTTGTTTCAGAAAACATGTATAGTGATACATCAACATTCAATATTTACGATTCAACAGATCCAGACATGAAAGAATTTTGTCTATCATTTCTGAGCCGATCATAAATTTCATGTTATATATTTGTAATTAGCTGAGAAAGTATCACATTTGAATCTCTTTTGGAATCACACTTGCATATGGTTACTCTTTTAAATATAAATTTATATAAAAATTATAAAATTTGTTTACAGTAATAAAAATTAAGTTAATCTGTTTTATCTTTTTTCATAACAGAGCATGAGTGGTCTACTGCGCGAATTCCAATGAAATTAGCCATGTTGAGTTGAGCATTGTGAGAGAATGCTTTAACTTCTGATTTAGCGTCTTTTTCCATGGACATATATGGGAGGAAGTGTATGGAAAGTAATGATGGAGGCATTGAAAGAAGACGATAAATGTAATAAAATAAGTTTTCTCCTTGATATCCGTATGTATTATATCCATATGGAACTCCGAACATGTGGTATCTCATTGTAATTGGCTGAACTTTGTATGGAGTTGAGAAAGCCGTCTTTTCGTATTTCATTAAAGCTGCACCGCGTCCAGATGGAGCGCCTTCTGGAAATACGAGAACTGGAGAATTTGAAAAGTCATCAACTACATCAATAATCATTTTCGTACGATATTTTGGCTTTCTTGGATCGATATACACGGCATTAACAGAATCTAAAAGTAATGAGATGAATGGATATGTTCTGTATACCTGGTCAACTATAATTGTTAAATCGTGGAAGTATAAAATTACGAAGGCATCGAGTAATCCAATGTGATTTGAAATTACAAAGCGAGCTCCATCGTCAAATTGGCCATCTGTATTGATATATACGATGCCAAGTAGGAACAGGACACTTCTAATGCCAAATCTTGCAATGGATAGGCAGAAACTTTTGCCTGCTTTCGATGGAAATTGAAATGCTGTTAAAGCAAACTTGTATCCAAGAATTAAGAATGAAGCAAATATAACTATGAAAACTATTAATAATAATCTTATGATTCCGAAGAAAACAATGAAGCATAAAAAATGATATAATTTTTGCTGGGTTGTAAATTGATATGGAGCTTTTAATGACTCAAATTCCTCATCTGAGATATGAGATATATCATTCTGATTCTGAAACTCCTTACTTTTCAAAGGAGTTGAAGAACGAAGGAATGACATTTTTTCTTTTTATGATAAAAAATTTTTTTTGCTGTAAAAATGAGAGACTTAGAATAGCAAAATTTATCATGGAAATACATCAAGTTACTTGAAAACATGAAATTTCCAGCTTATTAATCCATGAAATCCTTATTTACAAATTTCTTTTAAAATAATCTATTGAATTCTAACAAGAGGGTATCATGATCTTAAATAATTAGAGCTTGTTCAAACATATTAGACTGAACAATAAAGTTTTGCCGTAATATTATTGTCCAAATAGAATAGCATATGTTTTATTAATTTTCATCTATGGATCTGTGAATATTTATAACACACTACAACGAGTCATAAGTAAACAATTCAAACTATAATGTTTAATATTATTTAGGGGTATTTACCCAAATTAATATGCGCCAATTTTTTAAAACACATTTGCATTATGTATGATAGCTTCATTGGGTACAAACTATACAGTTCAGCAATCAAATTCTTATTGATAAATATTGTTCAAATTTCTTCTTCATTTTTAGACCAAAGATGGAATTCCCTTAAGACATGGCATTACATTGCCATTAACTAAAGTCAAAAAAGTTAATTGACATGATTAAACAACCAATCACTGTTGTAACATCAATGCTTTTGGAAAAAATGGACGTTTAGTAAAAAATATAATTGATGTTTGCAGCCACATACAATCCAAATTCTAAAGCAATTCCCACTGCCCTAGGCGGATCGATTCATTTTGCACCTTATGTAACAAATGTTACAGTAGCATATCCACATACTTAAATAATTATTATGCTCCACGCCCAGCAGATGATAATCAACGATTTGTTTGCAAGAAACCATCAACACCTATGAATTGGAAACTTGCAGAATCAATTGACATCGAAAAAATGCAAACAGTTCCAGATATTCATTCAATTAAATATCTTATGTCCCAATTTAAAGAAGCTAAAATAGACGAAAATGATACAGATAACTTTGCATCAGTAGGTGCATACAAAGCTTTCAGAAGTATGCAAATAGCAATTCAGTATTTATTAGAAGAAAATCAAAAACTTATTGATCAATTCCAATACATATCTGACGAACCTTCACAGAAAATCTTAACACAATATAATGAAAATATATCAAAAGCAGAAGAATCTATCAAAAAGAGAGATGAAAAAATAAATGAGCTCAAAAATCAAGTTGAGAGGCTCTACTCTGAACGTAAAACAGTTGAAAGCGAACTAAAAAATATGAGAAAGAAACTTCATCATACGAGAGAAATTAATACAACACTTAGACAGAGATTAGAAGAAACAGAAGACGGTGTTGCTGATACTATGTATGCAAGAAAAAAGTATAAAGACCTTAAGAAGCGTCTTCATAGTTAATTATCAAATAATTTTGTTTTGTTTTGTAAATATGTAATTTTCATGAATATTAGATTTAAGCAAAGATGAAGTCCTTATGTGTAAGATGTAGATTTTAAGTTGAAATGTAAATTAAATTTTTTTTTTAAAGCGTATAATATCAAACATTTATTTAAACTCGAACTTACTGATCCTATATTTCTGTTCTGGGGCTTCAACAATTTTAGAATTTACACATGGATAATCAGATTCAGCTTTAAATGTACCATTTTGTTTTACAACATATCTATAGTAGGTTGAATTTGAAGCACGAGCAGCAGCACTTCCATTTTCCATACATTCATAACCTTCTGGGGAAAATTCAACAAAAGTTCCATTTTTAATCCAAAAGGCTTGTGATGTATGAATTCCTGATGACGAAAAGACATATTTTGCGTTTGCAACTATTTTTGCCAAAGCGAAATCTGTAGTTGATTCTAAATCAACGATAGTTATTTTTTCATGCGAAATCTGGCTAGCAATTTCTTCTATATTTGTGAAATCTACAGAGTTCGGACCGCCTTTTAACACAATTGCCTTTGGTATTCTGCTATCATATGGATCAAAAGGTATTTCCTTCAAAATTATGTCTCTAAGTGTATTCAAAGCAGCATCCGATGGTCTTAAGTGTCTAATTAATGATGATTCAACACAATTATAATCATTTGTCACTGGAAGAACATCTGCGAACATTGCAACCAGGTTAGAATCAACAATGCTACGAGGAGTACCTATTCCTAGTACTTTTACGATATCTTTTGAGTGCTTTATCAATTCTGCTAAAGGAGCACCGACATTCTTGATCCAATTCCAAGATAAAGGATCGAAAAAGCCTATGTTAACAATTAGCGATAATCCTGATCGTATTTCGTTCTTTGATAATATTTCTTCATTTTCTTCCGCAGAAATCTTCTTTGCGCTCATTACTTGTGATTTCGAGAATCTTATGAGAGGATTAGGGAATCTTGCTTTATGCGTTGATGGATAATATATTATATTATCTGTGAAGCAAGTTCGATAAATTTCACATTGACGAGTTTCTTCTGTAAGACCACTACAGTGTATTGTAGCATTATTTTCCTTTGTTGGCATAAGATTTGTAAAATTCTTTTCGATTAGAACTGTTTTTGATCTTACTAATTTTACTGTAGCATTTCCTTTAATTGGGCAATCGTAATACCATGTCACTTGTTTGTCCATTGATAGTTTATTACTTTCATTTGTCTGTATTACAAAAACTAAGCCGGCCATTTCAATATCTAATCTTATTAATTCAAAATGCTGTGAAAGTGAAATATCAAAGATATAATCGCATCTAAACTTTGCAACAAATCTGTTATTTTCGTATTCTAATGATATATTTTTAATATTATCGATTTCAGTTCGATTTCTTGGCAACATATTGATTTCTGTTGCATGACTATTTTCTCCGAAGCTAGAGATAATAGATAGGAATATAACCAATGCAATTAAAAAGTATCTAATGCCAAGTTTCCCAAAATCAACAGAAACTTGCATTTTTTTATTGTAAATTTTTTTTGGAAAATTCAGAATAATTACGGAATCTTAATTAGATAATTATCATGAAAATAATACAAAATTAAACGGCATCTCAATTTCAATGATATTTTTTGAGAAGAAAAAGATTTTACACGTTATATGAATGACTGAACGAGCAAAAACGCGTCAAAGGCAGAGATATTATACAAAATTAGCAAAATTACTTCCAGAATTTTCTGCCGCAGCTTCTCGTCCACTCGGACAAGTTATTCGTCAAGTTGATGAAACTAGAAGAGGATATATTTCAACTTCAAGGAGAGTGAAAACTCCTGAGCTAGAGCCGATGAAAGAAGTGCTCCCTGATTATGATTATGAGCGTGTTTTGACAATGACACAAAATTCAAGAAATATTAATCCAGTTTTAGTTCCACAAATACTTCAACCAGCGCAGCGTATATTTATACCAGAAGATCAAGAATTCATTCATATTCTTGATGAAGAGGAAGATTTGGCACCTGAAGAAGAAGATATCTCAATTTTCGCAAATACAACACAAAATCCAATATTCAGGCAAACTCACAAAGTTAATTCATCAGCAAGTGAACATCAATCACAAGCTAACTCTGCACGTTCTGGCGGAATTAATACGTATTCATCTAAATTCTTCGATGAATCAGATTCAGATGATGAAATTTCACGAAAGAACGTCATTAAAATCGATAAAACAGGTTTTCCAGAGATTCCTCCTCTTGCAACAGATCTTGTTCAATTAATTGAAACAATTCCAGATTCAGCACCAGCATCATTATCACCATATACATTTGCCGAAGAAGTTGTCGGCCTTAATGACGATGATTTCATGCAATTCTTAGATGAAGATACTTTATTCATTAAATCAGCTTTATTTGGTGGTCGATTCAACGATGATTCAATCTATGAGTTATTTAATTCACTTTCCGACTCAAAGCATCAGATAGCTTCCAACATTGTGATTCAACAATATTTTAAAATCGGAATTGTTGCGAATGCTGTCAGAGATTTACTCCAATACGGTAATGCTCCAGATGCAGCTTATCATATCGAGCAAGATCTTCAAGATATCTTCAATGTCAAAACCGCCATGGTTTGGATCAACATTCCATCAGCGAAAATGCTCATAAACCATTCCAGACTCATGAGGTATCCACATGGAAAAGGTTTTGTTGGTACAGCAGCTTCAGAAAAACGACAAGTCATTGCTCCAAATCCAACAAGATCTCCAATTTACTCAGAAGAATACGATTTACCATTTTGTGAAGAATGTGAACTGATTGTTGCCAAACCAATTATTGATCCATCGACTGATGAACTCTACGCTGTTTTATTGTTGATTGATAAACAAGATCCAAGTGGTGCTTTCTATTCTTATTGGCCACAAAGTGAACTGACTTTACTTAACTTTTACATTGATGGATGTCACAGAGTTTTCAAGAGAATTATCCAAAGATTCACACATACAGAAAAACTCTACAAAATCATTGCAAAATTTGTCGCAAACCAGTTCAATTTGTTCAAATTGATTCAATCAATTACATCTTATTTAAGTGGAATGTTACAATGTGAAACAACACAAATTTACTTCGATGAAGGAAAGGATAGATTGTATTCTTTCGATATCAAACACACACAAATCCAGAAGACAACAGTTCCTTTGAAGAAAGCTGGTATCGCTGGATATATCTTTGAAAAGAAAGAATTAGTTAATGCATCAAATGCTTCTTTACATCCTTCTTATTTTTCAAATATAGATGGAGCATTTGGCACCCGACCAATTATAGGAATTCCTCTTATTACAGGTGATACATGTTTTGCTGTTATTGTTTGCCGTGGAAAACAAGGACTTTGTTTTACAACTGATGATGTAAACACATTGACATTCCTTTCTTCAGGTGCTGCTCCTGCATTACAAATGTCAATGACATATAGAACTAAAACACAAGAACTAAATATTGCTTTGAGAGCACAAGACAGATTGGCAGCTTTGTTGCAAGTCGCAGAAAGTCTTTCAAGAGAAACTAATATTGATACATTAGTTTCTCAGATTCTTGTTAAAGCTTGTCAATTAGTTAGTGCTGACAGAGCTTCTCTCTTCGTTTTGGATGATTCCAAGAACAATTTGATCTCTAAAGTTGCTCATGGTACTGATAAACCATTTGTTTTGCCTGTCGGACAAGGTATTGTAGGAACAGTTGCAAGAACAGGAGAAACAATAAATATCCCGGATTGTTATGAAGATTCCAGATTTAACTCTGCAATTGATAAGAAAACAGGATACAGAACTAAATCTATGATGACAATTCCTGTTCACGATCAAAGACATTCGATCATTGGTGTTGTCCAATTGATGAATAAACAAAACGGAGAAGCATTCAGTGATGCAGATGTTGAATTAACAAAAGCAATGTGCGTTTTCACAGGTATTGCTTTGGCAAATTCGATTGTCATTGATTCTGCATTTGCTTCTTCACAAAGAGTTCAAGCTATGTTGAAGACTGTTTCTATGTTAACACATGGCGAAGCTCTCAGTGGTTTATTGCATCATATCATGTCAACATCAAGAGATTTAATTGACGCAGATAGATGTTCTTTGTTCATTTTGGATACAAATTCATCAAAATTGTCATCAACAGTTTCTGATGGTCAAAAAGCAGGAATTGAAATCACAAAAGGAAAAGGTATCGCTGGTTATGTCGCTGAAAAAGGAGAAAGTCTAAATATCCCTGATGCTTACAAAGATCCGAGATTCCATAGAGGAGTTGATAATGATACAGGTTACAGAACAAGATCAATTCTCGCTGTACCTATCAAAAACAACTCAAATGAAACAATCGGTGTCGTAGAACTCATCAATAAAGACATCATTAAAAATGGTGGTGTCTTCACAAAAGAAGATGAAAAACTGACAAGCGGTTTTGCCACTTTTGCAGGTGTTGCCTTTGACCAACATTCAGATAACAATAGGAGCGGATCGCATACATTAGCAATTATGCTTTCCAACATGATGAATGCCGAAGAAGCAAATAGTTTCAGTCCTCCAAAACAAATTGCTTTGAATGAAGAACAAATGACAAGATTTGACACATTCAGATTTGATGTTGCAACTGTCAGTGAAATTGATTCCGCTAGGTTTATAATGACCATATTCTACAAGCTTGGATTGAGCCAAAGATTCAAGATCAACAATTCAAGATTGATCAGATTTATTTTGGCTGTTCACGATGGATACATGAAAAGTCCATTTTATAATTGGCAAAGAGCTGTTGCTTCTGCACAATTTGTTTATTATATTCTTACAACAACGGACCTTAAGAATATATTGACTGATTTAGAGAAACTCGCCTTGATTGTTTCGACAATTTGCCATGATATTGATTACACAAGTGTTGATGATAGTAATCAATCAACAGAAATCGCGTTGGCTGTTTTGTATCATAACAGACCAGTCATGGAGATGCATCATTGCGAACACACAATTTCCATTTTAGAAAGAAGCGAAGAGAATATTTTGGAAACATTGAATGCAGATGATTCTCAGAGTTGCTGGAAGATGATAATTTCTTTGATTCTTGGAACAAACATGGCCAAACATTTCAATACAGTTACGACATTGCAATCTCTTATTTTCCCGAATAAGATGATCAACATGAAATTGGAAGAACACAGATTGTTAATCATGCAATTCATTATTAAAGCTTCAGATGCATCATACGCATGCAGGAACTTCCCAGTTTGCCAGAGAGAAGGAACTAAAGCATATAAAATGTTCACAGATAAAACAGCGATTGGTAAATTATTCCAACGTTATTTGGTCAACTCACAGGTAGGATTTATTATATTATATGCAGAACCAATGTTTACTTTGCTGACACACGTTTTCCCATCTGTTGATCCTTTATTGGAACAAGTTAAATTGAACTTACAATACTGGAAACAACTGAAGAAAGATGGATGATCTAATTTTATATTTTTATTTTGTTTTTATCTTAAATATTATATTATATTGTTTACTTTTATTGCTTCCAATAATGTTATTCAATAATATTAAATACATATATTACAGTCGTGAAGAACGGTGATTCTTCAATCTGAAATATTATATTATATTGATTACATTTATTGATTCTGATCAGTTTTTATATTTTAACCTTATTGAGTAAAATTCAATAAAAATTGGAACAAATTAAATAAATTTGCCAACAACTCCAATTGATGGAGTTGAAGTAACTTATATACCATATGAATCGAATTCTATTCAAATAGGGGATGGATTTAATCCATGCATCTCAAAAGATTTTTCAGGAACAATTACTATTCCATCATACCTTGACTCCAAACCAGTTACAGTTATTGGTAGCTATGCATTTTCTCAATGTAGCTTAATCGGTATCAACTTACCCGAAACGATTCAAATCCTTGGAAATTATTCTTTCCAATTATCAAATATTATCAATATTTCATTGCCATCATCTGTATCAAGAATACAGAACTATGCGTTTTTTCATACCCGATTCGAATTTGTAAATATCAGCAACCTAAGAATACAAAAATTTGAAGGTATTTTTCATTTCGGCTACTCAAATATAGTCGAGATAACTCTTCCTGAATCATTAGTTGAAATTCCTGTACATTGCTTCTTTCGATCAAATCTCAGAATAATAACAATACCTAGATCAACAATATATATACATGAAGGAGCCTTTAGTGAGTGTATTTATCTTGAAGAATTCAAATCAAATAGTCCATTTTTCAAAGTATTCAATAAGGGACTTTACAGCTCTGATTTTAAGTCATTATATTGTTTTCCGAGCAATTGTTTTTCCGATCTTTGTCCAACTACACAGTACATCAAGAATGCAAGAGGACTTAGCGGCTGCTCATTCATAAACTATACATTTACTCTTCCTATTCGCGAGATGGAAGAACATTCCTTTCGAAGGTGTCCTAACTTAATTTCAGTTGACCTCAGCTGCACATTAATTACAAAAATTTCATATTGTTTGTTTGCAAGGTGCAATAAATTAACCACAATAATTATGCCTCCTTTTATCACAAGTATTAGTGAGTTATCTTTTACAGAAACAAACTTGGATGAATTAGTTATCCCTGCAGGCGTATCATCAGTTGAAAAAAACGCATTTAATAATTGTTCAATTACTAATATATATTATTGTGGTGTTAATACAATTAACTCTGCAATATCGACCGAAAATGAAGTGTCAATAATTGTTTCACGTTTATACCCTTCATCATCATCGACATTTCTTGGATTTAACATTGTAAACCGAAAATATGAATGCTCTGTTACACCTTGTATTTTAATGACAGATCAACTCTTTATGAAATGCCCATCAGAATATCAATTTAGAATGTATTTTTCAGCATTATTATATTTAGTTACATTCATTATAAATAAATAATTATTGAGAATCCCTTTTGAAAATTTACAATAATCAGACAAAGGATTCATTTTGAATTTGGAACAAGACTTCATGTTTAAATTCAACAATTTTGAACGGTTAACACTTTGATTAAATTATCAAAGCATTTTAAGTCAAAAAATAAAAAGTTTACATTGCTTAATTTAGATGTTTACTTATCATTTGGATTAATTTCATTTAAGAATATCAGATTTCGATCCGAATCAGCATCATTTGATTTCTTTCTAAAAACAACGAATACAACAGTGCAAATTATGACATTAATAGCAAGAGATCCGATAACAATTAGTGCAATATATATTGACCTTAATTTATTGTTATTTTGTGTTGGATGCTTGGTAGGTTCCGTATTATTTTCAGTTTCAGTTTCATTATAAAGATCTGAATAATCAAAATTCCATTCTGGCTTTTCTTGTGGTTCTCCTTCAAGAACTTTCGTATTAGGATCTAATGGATCTTTATCGAAATACATTGATGACAATTTCATTGTTCTACAAAATCTCTCTGGATCAGGACATGTGAAATGCCTATAATAAATAATTTCATTTCCTGATGAATCGATTGTTTTTTTGCAGATAATATAATGGTTGTCCTGCATTTTCTTTAGTGCAGGTGAAATTAATTTCTTCATTGTATGTTTTGATTTTAATATCAAACGATGTATAATCATGACAAACGAATTCGCTGCAATTTTCCATTATTGTTATTCCTGGAAGAACTACCTTTCCTTTTTCACAAACATAGTTTGGATCTATGATCATTTGATAGTCTGCAAGTTCATTTTTCCCGATATATTCTTTTTTCTTGGGATTATAAAATGTGTCCTTTAATTTACAATACTCAGCAAACATATCATCTTCGCAGTCAATTATTGTTGTTGGAAAAACATGATTCAACAAACTATAATGTTGATAGTCAAATCCCGTATAATCATCTTTTCCTTCGTTTTCTTTATATCTTATTAAATAGTTTGGTAGAAATGAATATTGTGGTGGATCAATGGCAATCCTGGAATTGGTTTGCCATCAATTGATTCTGGGTGTCCAAAAACTAAAGGCTTCAGATTTGCCCAATTACTTTATAGTTTCCAGTATCTAACAAAATTGCCATTGTTGCATCAGTGAATCGAGAAAATGGAACAGGATACTCAATAACTGAACCAACCATATATTCAGTATTAAATGTTCTGTATTCTAAATGAGATCCTGCTGTTCCTACTGAACCTCCATCTTCTAATTCAATACCTGATGGACAACTCGTTCCATTATCCCCAATAAATGTTTCGACTCCAAATCTCTTCTTTGCAAATATATGAGCATGGGGAGTGATAAGGAATGTATATGTTATCCCGTATTTTGATATTTAGCAAGTTATATTCTTATATGTCTCTGGGTTTTCATGAGGGTGATAAAATTCATATAAATTACTTGAGAAACCCAGAGCATGTGTAATTTCATGTAGAACTGTATAAAATAATCCATTATTCCAATCATTTTTATTTACAACTTCATTTGGAGTTTCTCTTGGATTAAAGTAGATCATTCCAATAATAGGGCGACTATAAATTTCATCAATTTGATCAACTGTTGCTGCAGCAGCAAAAGTATGGGAAAATTTGTACGATACATTAATTACAAAATCAGTATCGTTGTATATGCGCGTTACATTATTATATTCAGTTATAATTGGTTCCAAAAGAGATTGAACTTTTACTGCATTCGTTAAGAACCTTACTACATTATTTATTGTGCCTTTGATTGCCAAAATTTGTTTTTTATTGATAATATCTTGCTCTTCACAGATTATATTTCCTTCATATGGATCGTTAATTTGTTGTCCAACCCTTTTACAGGACATGGGATCGTATTCTTTTCCTTCTATAATATCATAATTAAGTGTGATTCTTATTGGTCTCCATTTTGAAGAAATTTTATTAACTAAACCAATTCTCTTACCAGTATTTTTAAAGTTTTTCATCCTCTCAGCATAGTTGCATCTATAAGCCAAAATAGTAGTCAAAACTAGGGACATCTTTTTGCAAAATTAAAAAATTCAATTCTCCTCAATATTTGAAAGTGTAATTAAAAATTGTATTAAGAAAATGACTTCAATTTGAATGCATTTCAATTTGCCTGTCAGACGGAACAATATGGGACAATAATTCATGTTTAAACTCAATATGATTTATTGGTTCATACTTTGAGTGAAATATCAAAGCATTTTAATTCTAAAAGTAAAAATTACATACATCTCTTGTGATTGAAGTGAAATTCTGAATTGTATTTCAAAGAATTATATTTAATTAACTAGATAATTTATGCCGTTAACTTTTCAATTCTCCAAAAAATTGAATCGAAAAATGACTTCATGCATATTTTCTAATATCTGATTACTAGTTTATATTATTGTAGCATTTAAATAATATTGCAATTCTTTCAAATGCTTTCACAACAATATACTTTTTTAATAGAATGGTGATAATTTTCCAGCAATATTTCTTAGATTTAAAGTTGAAGCAGTTATTTTGTTTTTTCAGCTTTCCCTAATAAGGTCAGGCTAAAAATCGTACATGCTTCAAAATTGAATAATATTCAAAAGACTTCTGAATCTCATTATCAAAAATCTGTCATCCTATCATCCATTTTATGCCAACAATTATACATTTGCTGCCATTCTATCGTCGTAAATTTGTCAATTTTTGAGGCATAATTTTGTTGTTGCCATCAATTTTTCAACACAACCATATGTTGATGGATGATTAACTTTTAATGAACAATCATTCCGCAAATCAATGAGAAAAATACATATTTATGATATAATATTCGATCGAATGAAATGAATATATAGACAAAACAATATAATTTATTTAAGATTTTTATTCATTTTCATTAGTTTCATTAATATCGTTTAGATCATTCTCGACTGATTCTGGAATATTTGATTTCTTCTTGAATAATATGAAAATAACTGCAAAAACAGCACCAATAACAACAAGAGATCCTATGACAATAAGTACAATATATCCTGGTTTCAATTTATTGTTATTCTTTGAAGGTTGTTTTGTTGGTTCAGTTTCGTTATAAAGATCTGAATAATCAAAATTCCATTCTGGCTTTTCTTGTGGTTCTCCTTCAAGAACTTTCGTATTAGGATCTAATGGATCTTTATCGAAATACATTGATGACAATTTCATTGTTCTACAAAATCTCTCTGGATCAGGACATATGAAATGTCTGTCTAAAACAACTTGATTTCCTTGTTCGTCAATAACTTTAAGTTTATATGAAGACTCTTTTCCAGCATTCTGCTTATTGCATGTAGTAGTCGTTTCTTCATTAATTTTCATATCGAATGATTCATAATTATTACATATATATTCGCTGCAATTTTCATTAAACGCAACCCCAGGAAGAATCGCCTTTCCTTTACCACAAATATAAGATGGATCTTCTATAATTTGATAATCGGCAAGATAACTGTTAGAAATATATGGCTGTTTCCTTGGATTATAAAATGAATCTTTTTGCTTGACAATATTGAACAAATATTTCATCGTTGCAATTGACCCGAGACTCTGGGTAAATTACTTTCCCCGAGCCGTAATATCTATAATCAAACCCAGTTAAATCAATTCTAGTCCCCTCATTAATTATTGTTAAGTAATTAGATGGAAAAGTAATCTGTGGTGGGTCAATAGCAAAGCCAGGAATTGGATTACCATTAATTGATTCTTGATGTCCATAAACTAAAGGTTTGATATTAGCCCAATTGATTTTGTAATTACCAGTATCCAGTAATACAGCCATTGTTGCATCAGTAAATCTCACAAAAGGACCATTTGAATATGTTACCATACCAATCATATATTCAGTATAATATGTTCTCATTTCTAAATGTGATCCTGCTGTACCTTCTGATCCTCCGTCTTCCAATTCAATTCCTGATGGGCAACTTGTACCATTATCACCTGTAAAAACATCAACACCAAAACGTTTCTTTGCAAAAATATGTGAATGCGGTGTTACAAGAAAAGAAAAAGTTTTTCCATATTTTGTTAACTTACAACTAATGTCTTTATATGGTTCTGGGTTTTCATGCGGATGATAATGTTCAAACATATTATTTGAGAAACCAAGTGCATGCGTTATTTCATGTAAAACTGTAAAAAAGAATTCATTTTTCCAGTCACTTTCATTGACAGGTTCATTCGGGATATCTCTTGTATTAAAGTATATCATTCCAATGGTGGGGCGCCAATATGTATCATCTGTATCTAAAGACATTGCAGATGCAACAAATGAACTAGAATATCGATGTGAAGTCATAATAACAAAATCTGAATTATTAAATTCGATTGCTTCATTTCCCTCTCCATATCTAATAGATCCTATAATTGATTGGACTTTGAGAGTATTAGAAAGAAAATTAACAACATTATCCATTGTTTGCCTGATTGTGGTGATTTGCTTTTGCGTAATAATATCTTGTTCTTCACATGTGTGAACTCCTTCATCATCATATTCAATTATTTGACCTACATTATAGCAGGATAGTGGAGATTCTTCTTTTCCTTCTAAAATATCATTATTAACTGTTATCCTAATAGGCTTCCATTTGCTTGATATTTTGTTTGACAAACTCACTCTATTATGACCTGCCCTTATGGTAGCGTTCTTAATGCGATCATCATAATTGCATCTTAATGCTAAATAAAATGCAAAAACTATAAGCATTTCTAGAAAATGAAGTGAAATTCTGAACAATTTTTAATTATTTCAATGATTTATATATTAAGTAAAATAGTTAATTAGTGCTGTTAACGTTTCAGTTCTTATAAAAATTGAATGGAAAAAATGACTTCATGAAAAAAAAATTCAAATAATATCAAATTTTCTGACATATGCTTACTATTTTATATTATTGTGGCATTTAAAAAATTAAAATTGCAATATGTACCTTAAAAATATTATTTTTCAGCAACTTTTCATGGATTTCCAGTATCCTCTGATGACAATTTCATTATTCTACAAAATCTCTCAGGATCAGGACATATGAAATGCCTGTCTAAAACAACTTGATTTCCTTGCTCGTCAAAATATACTTGTTCATAATAATTTTCCTTTCCGGCGTTTTGTTTAATACAAGTAACTGTAATATCCTGGTTGTTTGCATTGATTTTTATATCGAATGCTTCATAACCATTGCATTTATATTCACTGTAGTTTTCTCTATAAATAATTCACGGAAATATTGCTTTTCCTCTTTCGCATGCATGATGTGGTTCTGTAATTAATTGATAATCGGCAAGATTACGCTGACTTATAATTGGCTCTTTCTTTGGGTTATAAAATGAATCATTTGCTTGACAATATTGACTATATCTGGCATCTTCACAATCAACTGATGATGTTTCAATCGCACTAATTCCAATACTATAATGTTGATAATCAAATCCAGTATAATCATATTTCCCATTCTGATCATCAAAAATAGCTAAATAGTTTGGGGAAAAGAATATTGAGGAGGATCAATGGCAAAGCCTGAAATTGGTTTTCCATTTATTGACTCTGGGTGTCCAAAAACTAATGGTTTTGCATTTGCCCAATTGACTTTGTAATTACCTGTATCCAATAACACTGCTAGGGTTGCATCTGTAAATCTCAGAAATGGAACTGGAGATCCAACTTCTTCACCTATCATAACTCAGTACTATAAGTTCTGTATTCTAGATGTGATAATGCAGTAGCTGATGTTTCACCATCTTCTAATTCAATACCTGATGGACATGTTTTTCCGTGATCGCCAGTAAATGTTTCAACACCAAATATTTTCTTTGCAAAAATATGAGAATTTGTAAATTGACACACTGGATTCTTATATGGTTCAGGATTTTCATGTGGATGATACTTTTCATATAAATTTGATGCAAAGCCTAGCGCATGTGTAATTTCATATAATATTGTAAAATAAAAGTCATTATCCTAATCATTTTCACTGACTGCTTTATTTGGCGTTTTTCGTGGGTTAAAATAAATAACAGCAAAATATGGACGGGAGTATTGTTCCTCCAGATATACAGACAAAGCAGATGCAATATTAGTTCTTGAAAATCGATAAGATGCAGCTATTACAAAATCAGTATTGTTGAATTCAACTGTTTCATTTTCTTCTCCAATACTGATTGGTCCAATAATAGATTGAACTTTAAGTGTATTGGAAAGGAATTTCAGGGCATTATTCATTGTACCTTTGATTGCCAAAATTATGAAACTTTCATTGATAAATTGCTTCTCTTTATCCTTTTAGGGAAGTTCATATTCTTTATTCTTTCGTCATAATCACATCTATGACATAGTATACTGGAAAGAAAAAGGAACATTATGAATAAGTGAAATGCTTTTTCAAAATTCAAGAATTGATATGTTTACCATCTCTCAAAATTGAATTAAAAAAAATTCGAGTGAAATTTTTGACTTTCAATATCAAACTTCATTGCATGCATAATTAGAGTCAAAATGCATATTATATACATATATATGCAAAAGCTGCTTCTATATGAGGTATATCGCTTTTAGCAGAGATTTCAAATTTACTTTCAAAATATATAAATTTGCCTATTTGTGTAACATATAAAAACAAAAATATCAATAGTTGGCCAAATACCAGTAATATTTGAGTTATCAGCCAAAAATTTTTAATTTATTAAATTTTTGGGAATAAAAAACGAGTTTGTTCCAACACCTCATATGAGAGCTAATATGAGAGAGAGAGGGAGTATGTCCAAATTGTTTCAGTCGAATTATCATAGTTATATCGAACTAGTGATTAATTAACCTTAATTAATAAACAGATTTTGTAATATTCAGAAAAAGTCGATTTCGTTGTAATTTAAATTGCCATCAGTTCAAATTGATGATGTAGAGGTATCATATTCATCAGTTGATACAAATTACATTCAGATAGGAAACGGAAATGACTCATGTATTCCCACTGAATTTTCGGGGAAAATTTCAATTCCATCAGAGATTGACTCCAAAATCGTTAAAGTTATAGGCAATTACGCATTTAGCTTATGCAAAATTACCAGTATCACTTTACCGGATACAATTCAAATTATTGTGGAATATTCTTTCCAGCATTCATCAATAGCTAATATTTTGTTCCCTGCATCAGTTTTAAAACTCCAAACATTTGCATTTATAGGATCTTCTATTCAATTTGCCAATATTAGCCTTCCAAAAATCCAAAAATTTGAAGGGATGCACCATTTTGCATATACGAATATTTCCGAAATTATTCTTCCAGAAACGTTAGTTGAAATACCATCTCATTGCTTCATTGGATCTAATTTGCGAAGAATAACAATTCCAAGATCAATAGTATCGATTCAAGTAGGAGCATTCATTGAATGTATTTATCTTGAAGAATTCACTTCAAATAGTCCCCACTTTAAAGTTTTCAACAAAGGACTTTATAGTGCTGATTTAAAGTCTTTGTATGGCTTCCCTAGCAATTCATTTTCAGATCTTTGCCCGACAACGCAATTTATAAAAAGTTCAAGAGGATTCAGCGGATCTTCTTTTACAAATTATGTATTCACTCTTCCCATCAGAGAACTTGAATTATTTACCTTTAGGAAGTGCCCAAACTTAGTTTCGGTTGATCTAAGCTGTATATTAATCACCAAAATGTCAGATGGTTTGTTCATAAATTGCAAAAATCTGACTACTGTAATTATGCCTTCATCTATATCAAGTATTGACACAGCTTTCTCGTCAACAAATATAAAAACAATAACTATCCCCGCAAGAGTTTATTCCATCCACATGAATGCTTTTGAAAATTCTCCAATTACTAATATTTACTACTGCTGGCATAATGTGATTAACACAAGAATAACGACTAATAACTCAGTAAAAATAATTGTCTCACAACTATATCCTTCATCATCATCAACTTTCCTTGGGTTCGAAATAGTTAATAGAAATTATGAATGCCCTATAACAGCCTGTAATTTGTTGACAAATCAAATTTTCATAAAATGTAAAACCGTTTTTCAGTGCAGCGGTTTTCCATTATCATTCTTATATATAGCTACATCTATGATAATTATATAATACCATATGAAATTTTATATTAAATTTATTCTTTATTCTTTATTTTCATTTATATCATTTAAGTAGTTCTCCATTGAATCAGGAATATTTGGTTTCTTTGCGAACAAAAAGAAAATAACAATACAAATGATAGTAATAATAGCTAAAGATCCAGTAACTATAAGTGCTATGTATCCTTTTTTGAAGTTGTTATTATTCTTGATTGTAGGATTTATATATTCTGATTCGTTTCCTTGCTCAGTTTCGTTATAAAGATCTGAATAATCAAAATTCCATTCTGGCTTTTCTTGTGGTTCGCCTTCAAGAACTTTCGTATTAGGATCCAATGGATCTTTATCGAAATACATTGATGACAATTTCATTGTTCTACAAAATCTTTCTGGATCTGGACATCTATAATAGCTATCAAAAATATGCGCATTTCCATTTTCATCAATGTAAACTACTTTGTAACTTAATTCTTTTCCTGCATTTTGTTTATTACATGTAATTTCAATTTCTCCCTCATTTTTACTTATTTTCAAATTGAATGATTCATATCCATGGCAAGTATAGTCACTACATCTTTCAATCCCAGGAATAATTGCTTTTCCTTTTTCACAAATATGAAATGGATCTGTAATCAATTGATAATCCGCAAACATGTTTGAACTAATATATGATTGTTTCTTTGGATTATAAAAAGAATCTTTTGCGATGCAATATTGCTTATATTCATCATTACTGCAATTGACCTGTGATTCATGTATCATATGTATTCCTTGACCGTAATGCTTATAATCAAATCCAGTAAAATCAACATTTCTACTTTGTTCACTATAATTTATCAAATAATTTGGATGAAATGAATATTGAGGTGGATCAATAGCAAACCCCGGAATTGGTTTTCCATCAATTGATTCTGGATGCCCAAAAACTAGTGGCTTCAGATTTGCCCAATTGACTTTATAATTTCCAGTATCTAATAAAATTGCCATTGTTGCATCTGTGAATCGTGGAAATGGACCATCAGAGCCGAATTCTTGACCTATCATATATTCAGTATAATAAGTTCTGTATTCTAGATGTGATAATGCAGTGGCTGATGTTCCACCATCTTCTAATTCAATACCTGATGGACATGATTTCCCGTCATCGCCAGTAAATGTTTCAACACCAAATCTCTTCTTTGCAAAAATATGTGAATATGGAGTAACAAGAAATGTAAAGTTTTTCCCATACTTTGTAAATTGACACACTGGATTCTTATATGGTTCCGGATTTTCATGTGGATGATACTTTTCATATAAATCAGATGAAAACCCTAGCGCATGTGTAATTTCATGTAAAACAGTGTAATAAAACTCATTATTCCAATCACTATCGTTGATAACTTCTGCTGGAGTATGTCGTGGATTAAATTTAATTAAAGCTAGATATGGACGAGAATATAAATCTTCCAATTCCAATGGGATTGCAAAAGCTACTAGACTGTTTGAAAATTGAGAAGAAACCATAATTACAAAATCAGTATTGTTAAGTATAACTGTTTCATTAACACCCTCTATTGTTATTGGATCTAAGAAAGATTGAACTTGAAGTGTGTTGGATAAGAAATTTGCAACATTGGTCATTGTGCCTTTGATTGATGAAATTTGTTTTTCTGTAAGAATATCTTGTTCTTCGCAAATATGAGTTCCTTCAATAGGATTTTCTATTTTCTGACCAATATATTGACACGAAAGTGGATCATTATCTTTTCCTTCTAACGCGTCATAATTTATAGTAATACGAATTGGTCTCCATTCTGACGAAACTTTACTAGACAAGCTAATTCTTTTAAATCTATCATTAATATTCATCTTCTTAACTATTTCATCATAGTTACACCTGTGAGCCAAAAAAATTATATTCAGTATCATCAATAAAAAAATTGAATAGAAAAATTGACTTTAATAAAAGTCACTAAAATGAGTCATTACCAAATAATTTAGTTAGTTTATATTTATATATTCATGCAAAATATTGCCAAATAACAATAAATAATATGACTAAACCTGTATACATTAAAAATTCCGGAACTCCCGTTTAAGAGTATCAATTTTCATGAGTATATTTATTATTTTAACTCAATATATTGGACATTAATTTTCGATATTAAAATCTATTGATTTATAATTAATATTCCATCATCTCCTAACTGTTTTTCGCACTATTTCTTATATGGTTCGTATCAGGATGATATTTATATTAAAAACTCATATCATAACTGAGCGCATGCGTTGTTTTATGTAAAATATAGTAAAAAACAATTCATTGCTATGATTTTTTCATAAACACTTATAGAGAGTCTCTATTCATCATAAATTTAATGTGTTGAAAAAATCTATTAATTTAAATATAATAATTTGAATAACAGTTTTGAATGCATGCAAATAGATAATATATAAGTTAAGTATTCTCCTCAAGAGAAAATGAATGAAAGAAAAACAAAACTTCAGTATAAACATTAAGCCTCGATATAACAAAATGAAAATTATTTTCAATATATGTGCCTGAATATCTTGTGGCAATTCGTCATAAAGGTCTTCTTCTTGTTCGATCTTGGTATAATCAAAGTCTTCTTTTTGCTCAGTGTTGATATAATTAAAGTCTTCTTCTGGTTCGTTGTTAATATTATTAAAATTTGTTTCTGATGTATTTTTTTCATAGTATAGTTCTGGATTAATTTGACCTACAAGAACACCAGTGTATGGATCTAATGGATCTCTAACAAAATTCATTGATGATAATTTCATTGTTCTACAAAATCTCTCTGGATCTGGACAAGTATAACTTAAATATCCATATCGATAGAGTCTCTTTCCAGCATCAGATTTGTTGCATGTAATTGTTCTTCCATTTTTTAATATCATATTAAATGATTCATACTCATTGCAAACATATTTAAAGCAATCCCCTTTTGTAAATTCTCCGGTAATTATTGCTTTTCCTTTTTCACATACCTTATATGGATCAGCAATCAATTGATAATCGGCAAATTTACTTGTACTTATATAATTTCTTTCTTCTGGATTATAAAATGTTGTATTCGCTAGACAATATTTTTTGTAATTTTCATCTTCACAGTTTATGTTTGTTTCATCTATAAGCATTCTCACTTTCTTTATGAAAATAATTCTATCTGTTTTACTATAATGCTGGTAATCAAATCCTATGTTATCATTTTCTCCTCTTCCAAAATGTCTAATTAAATAGTATGGTGGAAATGAATGCTGTGGAGGATCAAGCGCAAAGCCTGGAATTGGTTTTCCATTAATAGATTCTGGATGTCCATAGACTAGTGGCTTTAAATTTGATTAGTTTACTTTATAATTTCCAGTATCCATTAATACTGCCATTGTTGCATCGGTGAATCTGAAAAACGGGCCTGGTGAACCAACTTCGTCGCATGTCATAAATTCCGTGTTATAAGTTCTTAGTTTTAAATGAGAACTTGATGTTTCTCCGGTATCGCCATCTTCTAATTCAATGCCTGATGGACATGTTTTTCCATTATCACCTCTAAATGTTTCAACACCAAATCTTTTCTTTGCAAAAATATGAGAATAAGGTGTAACAAGAAAAGTATAGTTTTTTCCGTACTTTTTTAATCGACAAGTAGGTTTCTTATAAGGTTTAGGATCTTCACGTGGATGATAAAAACTATAAAAATCTTTATCAAAACCAAGAGCATGTGTGATTTCGTGTAAAACTGCATAAAAGAATTCATTGTTCCAATCATCTTCATTAACAGGTTTATTTGGAGTAAATTTCGGATTGAAATAAATTGTAGCAAAATATGGTCGTGAATATATTTCATCTAAAAGAATTGGGAATGCAATGGCAGCATAACTGTTCGAATACCTAGAAGAAACTGAAATTATAAAATCTGAATTTTTAAAAACTTGTCTAATTTTTCTATAAATGATAGGTATCGGATCTAAGAAAGATTGAACTTGAAGTGTGTTGGATAAGAAATTTGCAACATTGGTCATTGTGCCTTTGATTGATGAAATTTGTTTTTCTGTAAGAATATCTTGTTCTTCGCAAATATGAGTTCCTTCAATAGGATTTTCTATTTTCTGACCAATATATTGACACGAAAGTGGATCATTATCTTTTCCTTCTAACGCGTCATAATTTATAGTAATACGAATTGGTTTCCATTCTGATGAAGTAGCATTAAACAAGCTAATTCTTTTAAATCTATCAATGATACTCATCTTCTTAATTATTTCATCATAATTACATCTGTATTCAAATAAAGGAAAAATTAGAACCATTTCCATCATCGCCGGTAAATGTTTCAACACCAAATCTCTTCTTTGCAAAAATATGTTAATATGGAGTAACAAGAAAAGTAAAGTTTTTTCTGTACTTTGAAAACTGGCATATTGGATTTTTATATGGCTCGGGATTTTCATGTGGATGGTATTTATCATAAAAAGTTTTATCAAAACCAAGCGCATGCGTGATTTCGTGTAAAATTGTATAAAAAAATTCATTATCAAAATCATTTTCATTGATTATTTTATCTGGGACATGAATTGGACTGAAGAAAATTTTAGCAAAATATGGACGAAAATAAATAGAATCCCAAGAGATGCTTGATTCTGTTGCAACAGTATCATCAGAAAAAAATCTATAAGATGTCGAGATTACTAAATCTGTATTACTAAATTTTTTGTCTTCTGCAAGTATTGGTGTCAAACGGGACTGAACTTTAAGCGTTTTAGAAAGGAATTTGATTACATTATTCATTGTTCCTTTTATAGCCAAAATTTGTTTTTTTGAAAGTAAATCTTTCTCTTCACAGATGTGTAGGCCATCATATGTATAGTTGATTTCTTGTCCAACTCTTTTACATGATAATGGATCATCCTTTTTTCCTTCTAAAATTCGATGATCAGCTGTAATTCGAATTGGCCTCCATTTCCTTGAAATTTCGTTTTGTTCTGTATTTACATTCTTTGGTTCATCTTTGTGATCACTAGTAGTTGCGAATACCAAATTCAAAAATAAAAATAAATGCATCCCATATTTTTATAAAAACTGACAACTGATTGAAAAATTGAATGCAAAATTTGACTTTCGTTTGCATGATTCTATGAAAAGATATCATATCAAATTGTCTCAAATACATTAATATTTACATGGAACACAGCCTGATTTAATAATTTAAAATTGAATTAGCTATTTGCCGAAGTCCTTTTTTTTAATGGTTCAGCAACTTCATAACTTCCTTGGTATATCCTTAAAGTCATGACCAAATTACGTCATGGTAATCATAATATAGATAAATATTGATCCAAAAAATCTGGCTATTACATATAAAACATACTTTGTTTTTTATAATATATTAATAAACATGAAAATAACAATAAATACAAATACAATGTGAGAATTACTTCTTAAGAAGTTGTCTGAGTTTATCAAGGTTTTCTGCATGGTGTTCGTTCATCTTCTGTTGCATGTTGAATACTGGTTCCATCTCTTCGTATGTGAACAAATCCTTCTGTTGAGCAATCTGCATAAGAATACGATCTGTTGAATACGAGATGTTTGAAACAAAAACAAGAGTTTTCTTGTATATAGATTGCTCTGGATACTGGATAGATGAAAGGTGTTGATTAAGCGCAGAAAGATTCATTGTAAGCTGTGCTGCACCTTTATCTGAAATCTCTCTAATTCGTGGACCATATCTGATGTGGATATTATATACTAATCTTGCAATTCCGATGAAAACAAATGAATTCCTTGCTGGTGTCAAACAATTTCCAATGTTATCGGTCGAACTGTTGTATGTAGAGATGAAATCTGTAACATACTGGTCTGGTTTTGTCGGTGATGATAATGGCGTGTAATTTCCATTCAAAAGTGGTTGAATTATATCAACATAAGTCCTGCATCGCATTTCTAATCTGATGAAGATCATTGCGCGAACAAGTGTTTGTTCTAATTCTGTAATAAGAGATCTGATTGCACTATTGTTGGAATCAGTATATTTTTGTGAAATCAACAAACTTTCTATGGAATTCTTGATGACAACAATTGATTCCGCTGTTGCTGCAATTGTTGGAAGACAAAACTTCTCTCGAATTGTGTTTTCAATTGTGAGAGGCTGACTTTTATCAACGAGATCAAGTTCATTTTGCTCTTCCATTTGCGAGAGATCTTTAATATTATCTTCATAATCTCCCATGTTATCTTTAAGAACAAGTTCTGTAGTAATCACTTTTCCAAGATATTTCAAAACAATATCTTTGTCGCTTGTTAGTATCCTTGAGGAAAGAATCTGTTCTTGTGATTCAGCAGACTTAACATGACCTATTTCATTGAGACAACGTGATATAAATGCCTTCAAGAATTGGATCATAAAACCAATGATCATGTCTTGAAGGTAAGTAAATCTTCCTGCAATCTTTCCATACTTTTCTATATTGTCAAGTAACAAAGGAGTGGAGATTAATACAGGAACTGGATGAGCTTCAATTTTGACAGGTCTTGAAACATCAATTGAATCTGAAATAAGCTTTGTTTGGTCAGCAAATATCTTCTTGACATCTAAATCAATCGTCATCTTGTTGGAAAGTTGTGAATAAGAAATATTATATTTCTCTTTCAAGCAAGAATTGAAATCGTCAAGCATCATAAAGATGTGTAATGAATTTGCTGAACATGGCTTAATTCCTAATTCGGATCTGAGTTGAGATGCCGTTGAATTTTGATGGGCAGTTTCAGATGACAAAAATTTGTATGATAATTTGTTTGCTGTGTACATTGTTATGCTTCCTTGGACACTTGTGAATGCTGTGACGATGTCTCTGATCAGTTCATCAACAGCGGCGTAAGCATTAGCAAAAGCGACACCATTTGTATTTTCAACAGAAAAAACTTGATCAAAAGCCTTACATCTTGACATGAGAACCCACATTTTAGATAGTAATTGGTCGATAAACATGACAAGAGGATGAGACATGTTATAATTGTTTGCAATGTCTACAAGTTCTTCAAATCCATCCTTACTTTGTGCGAATTGTCTGATCTTTTGTACTTTTATGGATTCTGCTGTTTCAGACATGAGAAGAGCAAGACGATCTCTCACTGTTTCTCGTAATTGGGTGAAGAAATCATTTTGTATTTCAAGACAGATGAGGAGAATTGTATATTCTTCAATTTGTGACGTATCTACACGAGGAATCCTTATTTCAGAATGAGGATATGGTCTGAAAAATGAAATTCCTGGAAGTCTTTGTTTAATGAAGAGTAATGAGAATAACGAATTCATAACATGTCCAACCATGTCGCTTCTTGCCTTATCAATACCTTCTTTCACTGAGTCGAGAGATTCGATTTGATGAAAATTACGATCTGAATAGATTTGCAATTCTTCACATATATGTCTTACAGCTTCATCGTGCTTACCTTGCTCTATTTTTGAGTAAACAATTGGAGAAACTGTGACAAGGTTCTCAACTTGTTCAAATAATTCAATTTCTTTCTCGAGTTTGACCGTTTTCAGCCATTTCTGTTTAAGATCCTCTGGATCAATTGTAAATCTAGCTCTTGTTTTTTCGATGACTCTGTTTTTTGCTGCAAGAAAATCGTCAATTTCTTTCCTTAATTCTGCTTTTTTTGTATATGTTTTGGCATTGACTTCGAGTGGAACTGCATATTCGTCTGCAATCTGTAATGCAAATGTTCGAGACTGTCTAAGTAAATCATCGACATTAAAACCTGCATTGGTACCATTATTCCAATTTTCCACAGCAAAATCATATGGATTGAAGCCATATGAGATGACTTGTGAACAGTCATTTTTTATAAATCTATTAATTTCATCCCAATTGACTTTTTTCATTAATTTATAAAAAATAAAAACACAAAAAGTGACAAATTCGATGCGAATGATGCCATCTATACATTATCTATTTTATATGATAAATAAGTTGTACTAATAATAAAACTTAATGAACAACAAAAAATATTGATTTATCCTTAATTATTAAAAAGATTATACTCTAATGAAGAAGATTTGCTGCAAAAATCATTTTACTTGGAACTTTCGTCTTGTACTTGGACTATAGTTTCTCTGTCGATAGTCTTATCATTGAGAAAGTTTTGAAGATGAAGTAAATTGAATAGTCCCGAAGGATATGAAAACGATTTTACTCTAACGCGCCAAGAACAATATATTCAACAGACTTGGGATGAGAAGATCTTCGATTAATCCTATGAAGAATGATATCTCAGAAGATATTCTCGGAAACGAAACTTTATGCATTAAACAACAAGGAAAAAATCGAAGAGACTGGGTATTATTCGAACCAGTTCTATTAGACCAATTTAAAAAAAAAAAAATATATATATAGAAAAAAATGATTGAAGATGCTACTTAAGTAATAATTTTGTGTAAAGCTATAGTAGTATTTTAATATACAATACAACATTTTTATTTCGAAATTACAATATTTTTAATGTAACAATAATACTAATAAATCAAATTACATTCCTGGGAATCCGTAGCTTTGCTGCATTCCGAATTGATTTTGTTGCATATTTTGCATGGCAGGACCTGATAAATCTTGGCGCTGAGCCATTTGAGCATATCTATCCATTTTACCAAAGAATATCATCATTTGGCGTTCTAATATTTCTATTTTATCTTCATGAGCTTTAAGTTCGTTTTGTATTTCTGAATGTTGTTGTTTTACTGTATCAATTTTCTCCATTAATTCAGGATATAGCTGATACAATGATTGCATTTTAAGCATTCCGTTTATGTAATTTATTTGATTTCCATTTTGAAAATTCGGAGAATTATAGGCTTCTTTCATTGATGGATAACCTTGAAGGGGATTATCATTGAATATAGGAGCAGATACAGAGTTTGGCACTCTTCGAACAGATCTGCGAACTCTTTGTACACCAATTTGATCTAAATCAGACATCAAATCAAATTTTTGGAGATTCAACTTTATCGTCGGCTATTATGAGGAATATAAATATAGAAAATAATGTGTTAATATTGTATAGAAAAACTTTTCAAAAAAGAATTCCTCGAATAATTAAGTTTTGGATTGAATAATAAATTTTCATATTGAGATTTAGTGGGAAAGACTATCTCATAACCCATGAGTTAATCTTTAACATGCCACTTTAGAATAATGTGTTCGCATTTGACTTTCTGAAATAATTAATAGGAGAATATTTTATTTCATTTCAAAATATTACGTAATTCGTAAGTTATATGAATGATATATTGATTTAATGATGTAGTTTATTCGAATTTGTTTCCAAATCTCATAAAAAAAAAGTAAGATTTGTGAATGAAAATTGAATTAAACGCTTTGTTTTTATTCATCAACATATAATAGTAAATTGATGTCTTTTACGTTTTTCACATCCTCATTTGTTCTTCTTTGTTTTTTTGTGGTAAATGATATTAAAATAATTTATTTGTTTCCACGAGCGCGGGCCTGAGCTGCGAAAGCCTCAGCCATAGCAGCCTGTTGAGCGCGGCCGTCGTTGTTGGCAAGGAGATCCATGATCTGCTTCATCTTGCCAACAAAGATGCCATCGATTGTATCCTTGAAGTTTGCCGAGTTAGATTCGACAAGCTGGCCGATGTTAACGATATGATCGTCATCTTTTGCCCACTTGGCTTTCTTGACTTTTCTGTCAGATGTAGAGCCGGAAATAGTGAGTGGTGTTCCGATTCCAACGTCAAGCTCGACGTTGACAATAGCGGAGGATGTAAGTGTATAAGTTGCTGTTTTGTTTGTTTCATCAACTTCGATTGTATCTGCACAGTTGATTGAGCCCTTGATATGCTCGCCACTGCGAAGTCCTGTGTCGATTTCGTTCTTAATGAAAACACCGCATCCGAAGACTCCCTCATCAATTTCCCAGAAGTAAACAGAGCAAATGCCTCCGTTGTAGTAGAGATGGGTATAAGCACCGAAAGCTGTATTAGCTTTGATTTCCATATTACGAAGGCGCTTTGGAAGCTTCTGGCCGTCTGGTAAACTTGGGAAGTATTTGTTGCTGATTGGAGACCTGTAGCTGTCAAGATCGCGGTTAAATTCGCATGCGATGTATGGGGCATTCTTTACCTCATCTTGGACAATTTTGAGTGGCACATCAACTGTCTGAAGGATTTCCTCCTCTAAATCATTGGCTAATGTAATGGCATCCTCGCGGCGGTGCTCAATTTTAGATGGCTGAATATGCCTGAGGAGTTGGTATACTTCCTTGATCTTAGAATCGTCACTCATGTGATGTTAGAAAAGTATGTAAAACGGTTTATTTCAATTCCAAATCAAAAATAAAATATTTTTCCCTTTAAAAATTTGATTTCCTAATGACATAATGTATTTTGGAAATTCATGGGCAAAAAGATGACGATTAATTTTATTGATATCAATCTAGTTTATCAAGCAATATATCGATTCTTGCATAATTATTTCTAGCTATTGTGCTGAGATTCCAGCATTTCATTGGAGTTTTGCATAATTGCGAATCCCATTTCTTAAAACTTCAAGAGGTTCATTGATGCGTAAATTTCTGCTTATTTCACTTTCTTAAAAAGTTCTTTGTCCCAACAAATTTGATAAAATGTTGTCAATAGTGTTCAAATTCTTGCAATTGGTTTAAATCAGACAAACAGAGCTACAGAGTATGATACTAGTTGAAATTTAATTTCACTAAAAAATTCAAAAAAATTTTAGGAGGAAAAAAAATTATAAATGGCCGAGAATAATCAGGAACCTAAGGTTGAAATTCAGCCAAGTGTCAACGAGCAGGAAGAACAACCAAAACAAGAAGCAGCAGAAACTCCCGTTGAAGAAAAACCAACAGAAAATTCAACAGAAACAAAAGAAGAAAATCAGGCTCAACTAAAAGAACAAAAGACTGAAGAACATGCTGAAGAGCAAAAGCAAAGTGAAGCGAAAACAGTCCCACTTGAAAATCCAGAAGAATCTCATGAAGAGAAAATCGAACCAACAACACAAGTTGAAGCAATCACTGAAGAACAACCAAGTGAACCTCAACCAGTAATTATCCACGAAATGAAGATCAAAGCTACTCCACAAAAAGAAACTAAAGAAGATTACAATCCAGATATGGATATTCTCAACAATCTCAGTGCCAAGATTCCTGGTCATAAGAAGCCAGAAGTTAAGGGATATAATCCAATCACAGAAATTCAAAACTGGTACAAGGATCTTGTCAAAGAAAATGGAGCAGAGGCAGTTCATCAGGCTCTCATTTCTGTCGGTCTTAATGTTGCTGGTTATGTTGCTGCAGCTTTTCTTCTTAAGCCAGTTACAGAATTTTTCGCAAAAATGGAATAATTGACACCAGTTCTTAGTTCCACAAATAACATGTATCAATAAAGTATAACTATTTCATATAATAATGGAAGTATCTTATCAACATATATATATAGTAAAATTTCATGCTCTGAGCGAACTTTTTCCCCGACATTTTATATCCAAGGTAAATTGTGAATAATAATCTATCTGTAATGCAATGCTATTATATGATTAATTTTTTAAAAAATTGTATTAAGCTCTATTTGAATCAAGATAAGTTTGGGATGCACATATTTCTTGAAACTAAAATAATTTCATATTCCGAACTGTAATAAAGCAATTTTTATTATGAAATATTTCATAAAATTAAATGGAAGTGAACATAATTACTTAAAGTTTGGTGACCCAAGATTAAATGGCAATCTTGGCATATCAACTGTAGAACGATAAGCTTTTGTAAGCTTATTTGCGCGAAGACTTCTTGAAGTCGTTGCTCCATCAGCATCGGCTTCATTGGATGTTGATAGTCTCCTTCTTGCAGCGACTCTTGACGATGCCTTATTCTCTGATTTTCTTAATAATGACAAACATGTGTCAAGTGGGGAGAAAATAACTTCATAACGCTTGAGATATCCAAGTGGAGGATATCTGATTGGTTCGTAATGGAATTGATCTGGGATGTATAAAACTCCACCTTCGTTACCCATTGTTCCGCAATAGTTTGAAGCGGAAAATACAGTAATAACACATCCATTGAACTGTGTTTCGACTCCATGCTGAGCACTTTGGTGTCCTCTGCAAAGGAAGTTCTTCCTTGCATCAGAAAGAAAATCTTTAGCTTGTTTTTCGCCAAATAAGCATCCAAGACCACGAGGAGATGATTTGAATTCTGGAGTTCCTTCTTCTGGATCACTCCAAAGCAAATCTGTTAGCGCCAAATTTTCGAAGTTTTTAATGGGGCGTTGAAGAAGCTGGACTTCATCATATCGCTTGTAGTTTTGTCCGACACCACCATGAACACATAGTAAGAGCTCCTCAACTCTTGCAACAAGTGGCATATATTCGAAGCAGTTGATGAAAGCATCGAATACGCTCTCATTATCGTATGCGAGCTGAATTTCGGTGTAAAAGCTGTTTGCCTTGGATATTTCTCTGAATTCGTGGTTGCCGCGAATGATGTAAACATTTGTCGGGAAAAGACGCTTAAGGAGTAAAACAAATGTTACAGTTTCAATAGACATTTCTCCTCTATCGACAATATCGCCTAAAAACAAGTATGTAGTATCTGGAGGAAATCCGTTTTCTTTTAATATGCGACAAAGATCCAAGAAATGGCCATGCAAATCTCCAACAACATAAAGTGGAGCCGATACATCAATGATTGTTGGTTCCTTTGCAAAGATTTCTCCAACTTCTTGTGCCAAAAGTTTTATTTTATCTGTTGGTATGATTGGAAGGCGGAGAGCGGTTTTGTGTGAAACATACTCTTGGACATCAACATCTGTGACTTGTTTATAGAGCTTTAATAAGTCCTCAAGTTCTTCTATTTGCATTTAATAGAATTTGAAAAAATCAATCTCTCAATTTTATAATGAGCAACATAAATTTTTGTTGTTTTTGGAAAAAACGTTCGTCAATATATCATCTCATTGCTGAACATTTAGAAGGAAATGATTCAATTTTTGAAAGGTTTATATCTGACAGGTGAAGTGTCACTTTCGATTTAATTTTTTGAAAAGTGCGTTGTCAAAAACTTTTATTGTCATCGATATGCTATTATGCGACTAGTTTCGAATAAAACAAGAATCATCAAGGCTTTATTTGTTGTTCAAAGCTTTCATCAGATAAATAAATCGTTAGAATTGCTCTGCGTGAAAAATGATCAGAATCAATTCATGTTTCTCTGACTTTCAAACATTGGATATTATGTTTCTATTTGAATAATACTAAATCACAGTTCTTTATTTGGAAGTCAATTCATTTACAATACATTGCTATGTCATTCACATTTTCATAGTCTATACAAGCTAGTAGCACCATATTGTGCTTTATGCAATATAAATTTTTATGTTTTTTTTTCTTTCATAAATATTATATCCATATTCAAAGAACTTCTATTAATGGTTGCTTTTTAATCAAATGTGTAAATCATTTGACTAATATTTCATGATATTAACTGACTAGATGTCGAAACTTCTATCTGCATTGTACAATTAGAAAACATAATTATGTAAACATCTGTTTTATTGGAATGCGTGATTGATTATGATCTATATAGCAAATATAACACAGGATTAAGATCTGCAAAATTCAAATCTTGCCGAAAATGCTAATTAATGAAAAGAAAGATAATGAATTACAGATTTAAAAGTGTTGTTCTAATCAAACAAATCTTATACGGGCTAGATCTGGAGATTCAGTGGGCAAATTATGAAAAAGTGACGTTTTTTTTTACAAAAAAACGAGTTTTATAGGGACTCAATGGCAGATGGCGTTCTAACAGAGGAAGCTCTATACGAAGCTGCCGATACAGTCCCTGACTCGATGCCACCTGAGAAACTGAAATATGCTGGCTTTTCAGTCATGCAATTCAGCGATTTCAAGATATTAACAAAATGCACGAGTTTGGTGATTATAGCATTTCGTTCTTGCGGTGTCGAGAAAGTTCCAAATGAATTCTTTCAACTTCCTTCACTTCAAAAAATCGATTTATCAGCAAATAGAATTTCGACACTTCCAGGTCCCGAATTATGGGCAAAACTTGTCAATCTTAAAGCTATAGATCTTAGTGATAATAATATTTCAGAATTAGAAGAACCAATGAAATTAACTTCTTTAGTTACAATTCGACAAATTAATTTAACCGGAAATATCTGTTTGTCCATACAAGATTCGTTTGCTAAGCTCTGCAAGGCATTTCCTTCGCTTGCAATTCTTAATGATATGATTATAACTTCACAATACAGGGCATATCTTGATAATTTAGCAGTTTACAATAATAGTTCGACATTACCACTTTCCAAAACAGATGATTTCTTCTTCCATTACGTTAAATACATGCATGTTTCGTCGAATGAAAGATATATCAGAAAATTTAATACAGAATTCTTCTGTTTAAACCGTGTATTACACAGATATTCTGCTGCTGTTCATATTCAAAGCGTTTTTAGAGGACAGAAACAACATCGAGAATATAAAAGAATGAGAGACGCTGCTCTTCGTATACAAATCAAAGTGAAGTATTGGTACAAGAGGAGATATCAAGCTGCAGTCAAAATTCAGCGTTGTTTCCTTTATTTCTCTACAAGACAACAAATTAAATTTAATAGATCGGTAAGATTCATCCAATCTCTCTGGAGACGTCGCGAATCACGTAAAGAAGCCATGATGGATGTTTTCGACTCAAATGGAGTCTTCGAATTCTATGTAATGAAAGATGGATTGGATAATCTTTTGAAATTCATCGAAGAACACAATTTCCAGAAGCCATCAACGATCGAGCCGAGCGAATATGAAGTAATCAGATACAAACCACACTCCCAATGCCCACTTCCTGGCTCTCCTCTCGTTTATTTCTGGGTAAACAACACTTTGATCGTCAAAAAACGATCAAAACACGAAATTTCGGCCAATTATACAATTTGGTGCAGCTGCGACCACACAAATTTCCAAAATTTCCAACGTGCGACACCACAAGGAATTAATTGGTCCCTCAAGTGCCCATTCATGGCCATTCAGCCTATAAGGATCAATATCCATCCGAAACAGTATAATTCAGTTACTTATCCTTCATTAATTCACGTTGTATATGATGATAAGTCAAAATTTTCTCCTTTGATTCGCAAACTGTTCGGTGTGATGCCAAACAACATTGTTTTGTTTCCAAAGAAGACACTTACACGGGTTTCCAGTCAAATTACAATTCAATCCGCATTTCGCATGTTTATTGAACGTTCAAGGCATTTCAAAGACATGAAATGCACTGCTATTGAAGCCCGTGCAAGTAATGCGATCAGATATTGGCTCAAAACCATCAAATTAAACAAATATGTTCAGTATTTGGCCAAAATGCACAAATACTACGAATCTCTTCCGGAGACAACAGCCTACTACATTCCGAACACTTTATTCCAGAAGATGCCCATGATTCCAATAAAATACCAAGTAGATTTTGGTTTCACGGCCGAAAAAAGTGTCGCTTTGGAAAAAAGTGTCAAAGGATTTTTACCTTTAGTGATTCCAAGCGAAAAAATTGTTTTCGGACTTAATGATCCTATGGCATTAGTCAAATTCGGAACAACTGATGTCAAAGCCTCATTAACAAATTTCACTGACAAAATTAACCCCAAATGGATCAAAAGAGCACATCTCCACCGCATATCTTTTACTACTGCGACGGAAGCCAAGCGCAGAGTGCTCTTATTCGCATGGATCACCGGTCATACGAATATGATTTTGTCAGAACGCGGAGTTTTGGAGTATTGCGCAGCAACATCCATCCAGAGTTCATGGCTCGGTCTCGGCACCCGTAGAACATTGAAATATCTCGGTGTTCAAGCGGACATTTACATAAAAATGCAGAGAAACAGAAACCAAAAGCCGAAGAAACTCTACTACGCAAACGAACATCCAGAAGACCAGAACAGGAAGATCAAGCGCGCACCTCTCGAAGCAGAAGAAGCAATCGCGAGGTTGAGAGGAGATTACAGACCAACACAAAAAGCTCTCGAAGAATTCAAGGCCAAAAAACTGGCAGAAAAACCAAAACCACAGCCACAAACGAAACAAAATGAAACACAAAAGGTTGACACGAGTTTGGACGATGCTTTGCCAAAAGCAACAATAATCGTTCCCTCTCAAAATTCAATGCCTTCGTCACCTTTTTATTCACCGAGGAATAGTGGCAGATCAACACAATCCGCCTTAGTTAAATCGATTATAAGGCCGACGGAAGAAGACATAAAGAGAAAGGCGGAAAGTAGAATTGTTCCTCTTGGAACTGTCCAGTTTGTTGGTGTAAATCAAGGTTTGGTTAATCCTTACGTCAGAGATCCACTTTTCGAAACAGCATCTCCAAAATCGAGGACACAAACACCTCTCATGCCTTTGTCTCCTGCTGAAAGCCCGCTTTCTTCTAACCCTTCAAAGCCAAACTCTCCTTTAAGTGACAGATTAAATCAATCTTCTGAAAACTTGACACAAAAAGTGACAGAAAATTTGACACAAAAAACTGAAACCAAAGAATCCAAAGAAACAGAAGATTTTCTTAATTCCAAAGAGTTTGTAGGAAGGAGATCACAAAGCCAAGAACAGATACATGTGAATATGTTGAATCAAAGTTCAACAGAATCAACATTTCTTGGTTCAACAACAAGTGGAGATGTTTCTTCCAGATACGAAAGACAAAGTTCCATTTCGACGAATTTGAAACACAACACACCAATGAACAGTGTTGAGTTATTGAACATCCCTCCTCCTGTTATAAACACGCAAAGAACTGCTTCAAGAACATCTATTTATGATTGCCAGCCAAAAACATCTTCTGCAGCTTCGAATGTTCAGAGTGCACAAGTTACAGATAATACTGTGATTGAGCATCAAAGAGACATCTTCAGAAGAATTGTTCGATTGAGACAAATCTGTGACCAAGTTGAACAAGAGATTTCTCTAGATAACTCTGTTCAAATGAAGAAACAAAATGCAGAGGATGCGCGCGAAAGATTGATGTTGAGTCGAATCCACAATGATGAAGTCGCAAGGAACAAAGCTGCAGAAACAATGGCGAGAAACAGAATCGAGCGACAAGAACTCGAAGAAACAATTGCAGAACAGAAAGAACAGATTGCGAAAGACAGAGCAAAGAAGATCAAACAATTAAAAGAAGAAAGAGAAAAAAAGATGAAAGCAATCAAAGAAGCGCGAGAATTCGGAAATGCATTCATTTCTGCATCAAGAGTTGCAGCAAGAATCACAGAAGTTGCAAAGAAGCAGAAACAGAGTCAGTCAGCACTTGCACTTGCAAAAGGAAATGTTTCAGAGTTGCATGCAAATGCAGTACAAACAAGAGAACTTGCGAAATCTAAACTCCAAGATTTGGAAGATTCAAGGAGAAGAATGGCAGCAATCGACAGAGTTCTTCTTGAACAGAAAGAAGAACGAAGAAGGCAATGGGTTGAAGAGCGACTGAACAAAGTTGCAGAGATCAGGAGAAAAGACAAAGAGAAGTCATTGATTCCTGTTCAACAAAAAGAATATGTCTACATAGAACCTGCGAAAAACGAAATCATCGATCCAATCGAAGAAGCCTTTGATGTCATTTGCAACGATGTAGGATCAAACATCGGTTTCGAAGAAGGTCACATTCTTGCAGAGATGATTCAATCTATTTTATAATTTATTTTATTTGTTTTTTTAATGTTATAAATATATATATTTGTTGTTTTTTTATTATATTTCTTTATTCAAGATACTGCTTTTGTATTCATTGAAGTGAAGATTGTCACTAGATAAAAATACTCGGAATAATGAATTTTATTTTGCTTTGATTTCCGATATTCGAATGAAATAGCAATGTATTTAATGACATCAAGAGTTTCTTTATTTTTAATTCTAGTGCCTTCAAGGTGAACATAAACTCTCTTCGCACCAAAAAAGTTTTTACAATCTTCTGATAAAATAGTATCACTTGTGATATACAAATGACTTCTGTTCTGAAATGCATTTTGAAACGATGTTTGAATAGTAAAATTTCCTGGAATATAGATATTTCTAGTTTCAACATTGTATCCAAATGGATATGAGCCAATTTCAATTGTATTCATATTGTTTGAGAATATTATTGTTTTAAGATCTCGGCAAGCTACAAATGCATTATCACTAATTAATATTACACTACTTGGTATTGTAATATTTACTAATGAATAACAAGTATTAAATATGCCATTTCCGATTTCAGTCACACCTTCTGGAATTATTATCTTAATTAATGAATAGCAATGTTCAAATGCATAAGATCCAATTATTTTAATATTTTCAAACATCAAAATATTTGATAGTGATGAGCAATAACCAAATACATCATTTTCTATTTTTGATAAACTCTCTGGTATTGTAATATTTTTTAATGATGTGCATCCACGAAATGCAAGCTGTCCAATTGATGAGATATTATCATGAAATTGAATTGATGAAAGATTTTCACATTTGTAAAAGCAATATTTATATATAGTTGTGACATATTTAGGAATAGTGTAATTACCAGAATATGCTGCTACAACTTTAAATAATGTTGAGTTATCTGTTCCGATATAAATTGATTTAGAATCACTTTTATATTTTGTATTTTCAGAATCAATTGTTATATTTTCTAACGGACAACCGGAAAAAGCTTCTGAATGAAGAGTTAGATTTTTCTTTGATCCGGCGATTTTTTGTCAATTTTTATGATGGGCGCCTTTTTGTTCATGAAGTGATACATCCTAACATGATACGTTACAGTGGAATAGCTAGGAGCATCCATACCGAAGCATTTTACCAATGTCTTGTAGATTTTTTACAGTCTTTGCATTTTTTTGCAAGAGCGAGGATGTTTTCTTTATGATTCATTAAAAAAATGAAAAAAATCCCGCCAAAATTTCCCGCGAAACCGCCTCTTGTCTCAAAATTCATTTTATATCCCGGCATGGCGCCAAAATACAACTTACTCATCATATACATATATTCATATTTTTTATTATATATTTATAATCAGCATATATCTCCTTTAATAGTCTCATATAGAGCGCTGTGCTAAACGCACCTTTGGACACCCTATATTAGAGTTTTTGGGAGAAAAATTGATGAAAGTTTTGAATCCATAAAACATGTACTAGTTAATGTTGTTAAGTTGGAATTCGCCGAAATATTCATGGTTGAAAAACCAGCTCCAGAAAATGCATAGTCAAATATATTCTCAACGGAATCAGGCAAAACAATTGATGTCAAATTTTTATCCCAATAAAAGCACATTTTTCCAATACTGATAATATTAGGAGGAAGTAAAACTAATTTTAATATGCTGCAATAAAGAAATATACTTTCATTCAGAATTTTAAGATTTTTGCATGAACTCAAATTTGCTGATTCGATACTAGTTGAAGCAAAACTATAACTCCCAATACTAACAATTTGACTATTTTCTTCGAATGTGAGTGATGTGATTGAATTTTTACAATTTTGAAATGCATAATTGTTATATCTTTCACTATATATTTCCTTAACACTCTTTGGAATAATAACTTCACCATTATAATCAGATGAACAATTCACAATTGTTTGGTTAGTTTCATCTCTGTATAAACGAGAATTAACACAAAAGACGCAATAAAGTAGTAAACAAAACAAATCTAAATGATGTTAGTATTTTTATTTTTTTGTTTTAAATTTTTTAGTAAATTTCAATATTTTCTTTACCATTATATAAATTATCATGTATTCATATGAAATACATAAAAATGCAAATCCAGTGAAACGCTTTTATCTGTTTAATTCGTACTGATTGAAGAATTTTTTTATTAATATTTGGGATTTATTATATATTGCATTGACAATTAGCATGAAATTGTGTATATGCCAATTTGAAAATGATGACTCTTCTTCAGCATAGATGTATATAAGTTAATATTTGATTCTATTTTTTCAATAAAATTTTGGCAATTTTTTGAGTAGATATAAACTTTTCAATTAGTATTAAGATTCCATTCATTGATTTATATGTAGGAATATATATGTGAAATTAGCAATCTTAGTATATTTATAATTTCGATATATTAAGAAATGGAAACTCATTTCTGATATCAAGAGAGAATTGTTTTAGATAACATCATCAAAAAAATTGTTCTAATGGACTAGAAAACGCGACATTTGTAACAAAGAGACTCTTTCAACAATTCTATCTAAAAACATAATAATAACTTATTTAAAATAAACAAAGTTAAATACTATACAATTTTTGTGATCGTAAAGAATAATAAGCAGCCAAAAGAAATGGAGAACCTTAAGAAACAAATATTTTTTTAGGATGTGTTTTGCTTTGTTAAAATAGGAATTAAACTTATCAGATGTGAACATTTTGATTGCCGATAAATAAAGTTATATAATGATATAATTTTTGGCTGAGGAATAGAGATATATTTAATTACTTTAACTGTCTTTTGATCTTTAATTTTAGTTGCTCCTTTTAAGTGAACATATACTGAACAATTTCCAAAAAACGTTTGACAATTTTCTGATAATAATGTTTCACTTGTGACATATAAATGACTTCGATTTGGAAATGCATTAGTAACAGAAGTTATTATAGAAAAGTTGCCTGAAATATCTATATTCACTGGATTAGGAATGTTATTAAATGCAGAATTTCCAATTGTAATATTTTTTGAGTTAGTTATGAATGTAATACTTGAAAGTTTATTGCAATTTGAAAATGCGTGTTCTCCTATATAAATGACATTTCCTGGGATTGTAATACTTGTTAATGATGCACAATAATCAAATGCATCGTTTCTAATTTCTGTTACTTTTTCTGGGATGATAATATTTTGCAAAGAACTACAGCTCTGAAATAAATTAGCGTTAATTATTTGAATATTTTTGGAAATTGATATATCTGTTAATAAAGTACAATAAACAAAAGCAGCTTTTCCGATCTCAGTAACCATTTCTGGAATCACAATGCTTTCTAATAATTGGCAATCAGAAAATGATTGCATGCCAATTGATGTTATTTTGCCTTGAAAATGGATTGAACTAATATAAAAAACTCCAGAGAAACAAAAATCAGAAATTTTTGTGATGTAATCAGGAACAATATAATCACCCATATATAATTCAATAACTTTAAATAAAGTTGAATTATCTTCTCCTGAATACATAGATATAGTATCGGATGAATAATTTATATTTTTTGAATCAACTATTATATTTTCTAATTTGCAATTAAGAAATGCTGATGTAGAGATAGAATTTAAATGTTTTGGAATAAAAATTGATGCAAGTTTTGTACTTGAAAAGCAGGATGCTTCTAATGCTGTCAAATTAGAATTTTCTGAAATACTTATGGTGACTAAACCACTTTTGTAAAATGCATAATTTTTAATTATCTCAACAGAATCCAGTAAAACAATTGATTCAAGTTGTGAATTGGTTTCAAAACAATGCATTTCTATAATTAAAACATTTGGAGGGAGGACAACCGATTTCAAGTAATTACAGCCCCGAAAGACTGAACTATTAAGAAGTTTAAAATTTTTACATTCACTTAAATTTGCTGACACAAGTCTTGTTTGATAAAAACTATCGCTACAAATGGTAACAATTTGACTATTTTCCTCGAATTTAAGAGATGTGATTGAATCTTTACAGTTTTTGAAAGCATAATCTGCAGAGTCTTTACTATATATTTGTGTGACTGTGTAAGGAATAACAACTTCTCCAGTGTAACCTTTAGAACAACCAACTAAAGTTTGGTTAGTTTCATCTTGATAAACAAGAGAATTAACGCTTAAGCTTTGATAAAGTAGAAAACAAAACAAATTTATTCGATATTAATGTATGATTGGTTTCAAATAATATAAGATTTATGTTCAATTAGGTAAATTTCTTCGATTTTGGATTAATGTTGAATTAACGCAATAATGTTCATATAATAGTTAATAAGTAATTTTCAAAGGTAAAATTAGATGAAATATTTTGGAAATTATGAAATTTATTTGGTTATAATAGCCTTTATGTTGTTTAATTATTTATTTCTAATTAATTTCGCATAAATTATCTTACAGTATCTCGCAACTCGAGTTTTATTAATTGAATTTTAAGATTAAATTGAAATTTGTATTAATAATAGGATTTCTTTCTTTATTCCTTTAATAGTTTGCTTGTTGATGCATTTTAATTGTTCGTAGCATTGAGTTTTTTCCTTTAACACTGATTGATTTTGGAGGGTGAACGATGCCATTTTTTCAACGGAAAGTTTGAAATTTTGAATGATCTTCACAAATTCCAGTGTTTAGTAAAATTAATTTAATTTAAATTCAGTCCAGGAAAGATAACACAATAAGAAACTTCTTAAATTAAAGAATCAACAACAGAAATAGTTCGAAGTTCAAGTAAATCACCTCGAGTTTGGTTATTTCCTCTGAATGTCGAAAAATTACCTATACTTAATGCTTCTGCTATCGATTTATAATAACAAGTTCGATGCTGATCAAACTGTCCTTGCTGATAGCAGTTAAAATAGACATATCCACCATATTCTGCATCGAGTTGATACAGATTGTTCAAGTAATGTGCAGATTTTGTTAGGTACCATATTGCATTCTTCAAAGTTACAATTAAAAATGTAATAATTTTTAAGACCGCTCTTATCTAATAGGACAATTCCGTTTTAAGCCTTCCCATATTTAGGTTCAATGCCAAAATTGTCTTCCCAGATGAATCAATTTGCAATTTCTAAAATTTATCTTTGGTTCATATAATTATTTAATTTTAGGTTTAATCAGTTGATACTGATGATTTTCCCTTTATTTAAAATAGATGAATATATCGTTGCATGATTTTTGAGGATTATACCTCATGTACTATTGTAAATTTATTGGTTACCGATGTGAATTACAATTTACAGATAATAATATTTGACTAAGTTGAACAATATATTTCATTAGATAAAACAGTTCAAACAAACAAACAAAACTCAGAGAATGCACGCGAAAGATCGATGTTGAGTTGAATCCTCAATATTGAAACTGCAAAAAACAAAGCATTAGAAATAATGGCCAGAATCAGAATCGAGAGGCAAGAGCTCGAAGAAACGATTGAATTAAAAATCAACAACAGAAATAGAGCGAACTTCAAGTGGATCACCTCGTGTCAGATAACAGTATGATTTGAAAAAGGAATTATTACAAAACTAACTCAAAGAATACAATCATCAATATAGTAGCCGAGATAAGTAAGAATGGTAAATAAAATTCTACATCTGACCGAATTCAAGTACAAGCAGAATTCCTAGTCCTGCTATCCAAGATTAATTATGGTTTTGATGGTAATAACCCTATTGTCGCAGTTTTTGCTATTTTAGAAAAAATATGAAATCTTATTATTGATCGTTTTTTCTTTTTCGATATAACACTTTTCTTTGTAAATATGAGAAAAAACATTAAAATCGTAATTTTCTTTAAGATTATTAAATGTAACATTTCCTGATCCTGTTGTCGTATTAACTTCAATATATGAATCTGAAATAGTTAACGTGTAATCTTCTTTATCTTGATGAAACATGTATACAGCAGTGTTATTCAAAAATACGCATTGATCAACATTAGTTGTGTACCAACAAGTAAATAGCATTTGGCCATAGTCTGTTCCGCATTTAATTCCAATAACATTGCAATGAGAAAATGTATGATTGTATGAATCATCGAAATCACTGACAAAAGCTAATGAACTGCCTCCAGTTTGATTGTTATCTCTAAATGTTGAGAAATTATAAGAGCCTGAACTCCCTTGTAGATATGAATAAATTAAAGAGTGATATTCACATTTGTTATTTGTGATGTTGTTATTTTTGAAACGGATGTCACCGCGGGCACTAAAAAATGCAACCATTCGGTTTGACTCATTATCTCCGCATTTAAAAACTGAAACTTCGTATGCATAATTTTTACTTGAGGAAGAAGATTTAACATATTGCATAAATGCCATGAAATATGTTTCTGCTATAGATTCATAATAACAAGTTCGTTGTTGGACAAATTGTCCATTTAACTCGCAGTCATAGTAAACAGAACCACCTTTTGTGGTAGAGCTGCAGTTCTCAAATACTGTATCTTCAAGTAAGGTGCTAATTATATTATTTCTTTGAATGAAAATGGCCCCATTTTCTTTGTATTCTTCAAACAAGCATTCAAAAACGTAATAATTGTTAATACTGCTATTATCAAATAATGCTGTTCCGTTATGGGCCTTATTGTATTTATCTTTATTGCCAAAATAGTCATCCCAGCTGAATCTGTTTGCAATTTCCAAAATTTATTTTTCATTCGAAATGATATGAGATGCCATTATGCTTTATTAGTTGGGACAGATGATTATTCTCTTTGCTCGGGATTATTGAAATTAAATTGGGATGATTTGTGGGCATAGCTTTAAAATTTTTGTTTGCGGGCGTGAATTGTCAGAATAATGAACTCCTTGCTATTTGATAGAAGTCATACAATTAATTATATGAGAACCTCAAAAGAGATGATTTTTGAAGTTACGCTCTTTGATCCGATACAATCTTTCTCTATAATTCGAAACAATAACACAGAATCATCTAACAAGTATGATGAAAAGAATTATTCAATCTTAAATATTGAATTAAAAAATTCGATTTGCCGATTTGTCTTCAATATATTCTTATCTTCAATTATATGTTTCATATCTATTATAATACACATGTAATTCTGCAATTTAGGAGTTTAATCATAGGATTTTGGTATGTTCATTTTTTACAACCGCTAATTGAATTAATTCAATTTTTCATAATTTTGATGAAACTCATAGAATCGAGTTTTTCAAAAATTGAATACCGTTCAATACTTCTCTCATTTTTACTTTAAAAAAACAATATATCTTTATAAATAATCATAAGTCAACGACCAATTGAAATCGTTTTAATTCAAAATGATCGTAAAAATTAGCACCATGTGAAATGATCTGATTTAAATCATTTATTATACCTGATTCAATTGGCATTTTTCATCTCAAAAAAATAAAAATAAATTCAGCAAAAGAAAGATGGGAGCAGACGCGAGCTTAGTCTATGATGAAGCAGATAACCTTCCAGAAGAATCGAAAATTATGAGATCACCTACTCTCAACAAGTTTTCTAAAGACAGATTTCAATCAAGATTCCCAGATGCCCCGCAAGTTGGCACGCTATATGATTTACTTGAATACACAAAATCTATAGCGCCTGATCTACCGTTTTATGGCCACCGTGTTTATGCAAATGGAGCTTGGCAAAACGAATTCAAGTCCCTTAACAGAGTTGAGTTCTGTGGCATCAGAGATGCAATTGGTTCCTATCTTATTAAAAATTGCCCAGGCATAAATCGTAATATTGGCATTCTAAGTTACAATAGAATGGAATGGGTCGAAGTACAACACGCTTGCTATGCATACGGCTACATTCCTGTTCCTATTTATGATACTTTTGGCTGGCAGAACATGCTTTACATCATTAATTTCGCACATCTTACTCATGTTTTCATCATTTCAACGAAAGTTGAGCAACTCCTTCAAAACATTACAGACGATTGTGTTCTTACAGACCTTATTGTCATCGATGCCGAAGACAAACCATTTGATTTCAGTAAGTACGAAAATCATCGAATCAATTTCCACAAATTCAGCGAATGTGTTGAATTTCCTGACCGTTATCCATGCAGACCACCACAACCAGATACTCCTGCATTCATCATGTTCACATCAGGCACAACAGGCAATCCGAAAGGCTGTGTTGTCACACACGAAAACATGATTTCTGCTGCAGCAACAGCCGGATACTGGGTTTATAACTTCAGTCAGAATGATTCGATGCTTTCTTATTTACCTCTTGCACATATCTTTGAAGCTTGCATGCATGCTGTTGGCATGAAAGTCCTTGGATACATGGGATTTTATTCAGGATCTTTATCTCGAATCACTGAAGAATTCCAGATATTCAAACCAACAGCAATTATTGGTGTCACACGTGTTTTCGAACGTATACAAGAAGGAATACTTTCAAAGGTCCACGCAAAAGGCAAATTTGCAGAGTTTGTATTCAAAAAAGCCATGTCATTAAAGATGTTTTCAATCAACCATCTCCGTTGCAAACACATTCCTTTGATTGACAGCATCTTTAATCCAATCAAAGAAGCAACAGGTGGACGTGTTAAATTCATTGTTGGTGGTGGATCTGCGATGGGTGGCGAACTACAGAATTTCATAAGAATTGCTTTAGGATGTGATGTTATACAAGGATACGGTCTTACAGAAACAACAGGTCCATGCATTGCACAAACATATACAGATTATCTCACAGGAAATGTTGGTGTTCCATGTGCATGCGCTGAATGCAAACTTAGAAGTGTTTCTGACATGAGATATCTCGTAGAAAATGGAGAAGGAGAACTTCTTGTTCGTGGTCCTGGTGTTATCAAATCATACTACAATAACGAGGAAGAAACGAAATCAAACTTCGAAGATGACTGGTTCAAGACAGGCGACATCTTCAAAGTAACAAAAACAGGTCAACTTTCTGTAATTGGCCGTCGTAAAGAAATCATAAAACTTTCACAAGGTGAATATGTTTCAATCCAGAAACTAACATCTATTTACAGCACTGTTCCAGGTGTTGTTCAGATTTACATACATGGCGGTCTTACATCGAGATACTTGACTGCAGTTGTTGTTACAGACATCAAATGCACAACAACAGAAAAAGAATTTGTTGATCTTTTCAACCAAAAAGCTATTGAGTACAAACTTAATGGTTTTGAGAAGATCAAAGGTGTATATATTACACACGAAGAGTTCAGTACAAGCAATGGATTGTTGACACCATCAATGAAACTCCGTCGCAAATGCATTGAAGACAGATACATCCACGAACTTGAGAAAGTTGAATCATCAATTGTTCAATAATTTTTATATTATGATTTGTTTCATAAACTCTAATTTCTTATTTTTAATAGCCTCTTAAAATAAGTGTTATTGGATTGTATAATATTAGATAAATCAGCTCTTCATTATATTAGCATATTATAACACTTTTGAATTTCTTTTACACTAATTTTGAAGATCGAATATAATCAATTTTTTTGTGTTGATATTTTTTTGATTGATAGAAAAAGTTACGTGAAATATTTCTTTAGAATCTATTAAGCAATTATCTGTGTGAAGATGAGGAATCTAATAAGTCGATAATTAGTGTGGAAAAACCGGAAAAAAAATCTAAATTCCCTCCAAAACAATTGTCGACTAAATTCCCCTTTTTCCTATATACATTCAAATTTGCTTCAATTTATCTCATAAAATCCTGCAGATCATTAGTTATGAAAAGTGCTATGAAAATTGAAAAAAACGCAAAATGTAAATCATTTAAATCTCAACCATTATTTTCGGATTAATAGCCTTATTTGAGAATAGTGTTTACCCGTGTGAAAACCGAGAAATAAAATTTGAAGCAATGTCGAAGAGATATTATTCAAATTGCGATCACGCCGATATCGTTGAATTCAAATATAACAATTGGCTTTATTTACTATGATTTTAAGGGTGCGCTGTAGTCTGTAAGTAAACTTCAGAATTTTTTCAATTTCAACATGAATATCTTATTTTTGCAGCTTCTAGCATTATCACATTCGCAAGAAATGCAGGATTTTTCAATATGTGTCACATACGAAAACGTTACACAAAGCTTTTGTCCAAACGATGTTAATGCAACATTCAAACTTTCAAAGAAAAAAAATGCTGATCAGAAATTTTACATTTGGACTGTTAAAGAGAAATTTAATAAGTTTAGTGGTACTAATTATCTTACAATTTACATTGATTGTTTAGATGTCAAGAACCATTCAATAGGAATTGATGTTTATGCAGTCAAAGATGCAAAACATATGACATTGAGTTAAACAACTGTTAAAAACTTAGACTTGTTAAATAAATAAGGAATTTAACAGCCAATATGAGAACATGCATAGTACTGTAGTATGTGGATGTCTTAGATATGCTTGATTGTCTTGTTGCTGCCAAAAATATTCGTATTGGCTGAATGTTGATTCATTTTTTAAGAATGATTTATGTTTCTAATGAATTTGATTGCATGATACTTTTGGGTTGTGAAGAGTGACGCTATTTAACGCTATTTTGTGTCTGAATCAAGAATCATATATGATTTGGGAAAGCTAATTTTTGGTTCTTGAAAAAAAAAATTGCCAGATTTTGTTTTATGGAAAATGAATCAAATTTCCCAATATCTGTAAAGATCAACAAAAAATATAAGAAAGATTTCAAAGATTGGTTCCTAGAGAATGCTACCCGTGACTTTAATTTACATTTATCAGGAATTAGATTTTTTGATTCCTGTTTTGCAGAGAATTATTTTAGTATTAAGAAGCTCAAACAATATTTGACACCAGACCCTAATAAACTCATTCCGTTCTTAACTAAATTAATTGATTACTTGAAATCCCTTCCAAAAGATAAAGTTTCATTTTCATATACTTTCGAACCAAACTTTCAAAAATATAATCATAATCGTTTCCCTACAAATCACAAACATTCTTCTAAAGCTGAAAAAGATAATTCCAAAAAGAACACAAAAAAGCGAAAATATTCATCGAGTAGTGATTACTATGACTACAGTGATTACAGTGACTATAGTTATAGCGATTATAGCTATAGTGAATATTCATATAGCGATTATTCGTATAGTTCTGATTCAAGTAGTTCAAAACATAAGAGTAGTTCTAAATCTACAAAGAAATCCAGTAAATCATCAAGCCAAAACAAAGTTGATGAGAAATCAGAAAAAATTAAGAATTCTGCAACTTATAGTTCGAAATCTAAAATAATTTTCGAAAGTGATGAAGATAAGAGCTTATCTCCCATCAATATTAACTCATTCCATTATTAAAAAATTTGTTTTTACTTTTAAGAAATAAAATTTGTATTTAATAACACTAATGACCTCTATTCTTTCATAATATTACAAATTACATTTCAATTTTGAACGTAATTTTGATATTGAAAGCAAATTATTGTTTTTAAGAAATCTTTTATTCAAAGGGAGACTTTTCTAGGACTATGCCTTAATTTGCTATACTATGTCTTACATTCTTAGTTATTGAAGCACCATCAGATCTGATTTTTATGGATTTGCCATTGTCTTCCGGGTTTTTCATTCGATAAGAGACCTTTATAGTATTTTAAATAATTTTCAGAATGCTAATAGTAAAAAAATAAAAATTTTTATATTGAATAACAAAATACAATCTGAATCAGGAAACAATGAAAGGGAAATAAATCCTTTTGCCAATGCTATGGGCCTGATTGAGATAATTTTTCCTTGTTAATATTAAATTAAATGAAATATTAAATTAAATTTGTTCTTAAAGGCGAAAACAATATTTCTTAATGTATTTTTGGTTTTAGAAATCTTGACTTGTAGTTCTATTGAAGAAAGAAGAGTCACTAAGATAATTGAGACTGGAAAGAACAGAATCACTTTGTCTAATTCCAACATTGTTGTTCTTCTTGTTCCTCGATGGAAATCTTTCTTTCAAGAACTTGTCATAAACTTCAATAACTTTATCATGTTTCTGAATTTTCGCCCAATCGTATGGAGTTCTTTTAATCTTATCAACTGCGTCAGGATCTGCTCCTGCATACAATAAGATTTCAACTACAGCACTTGATCCATTCTCTGCAGCTCTATGTAATGGAGTTTCCAATAATTTATTTTTCAAATCAACAAGAGCTCCTCTATCCAACAAAAGAAGTACTGCTTTATCTTGAGTAAGCCATGCGGCCATATGAAGTGGCGTATTTCCGAGAGGATCTTGTAAATTTGGATCTGCTCCTCGATCTAGTAAAATTGTTAAAATATCAAGTCTATAGTTCTGTATAGCTATATGTATTGGCGCTTTTCCTTTGAATATGCCATTAATATCTGCATTATAATCTAATAAGTCATTAAGTGTATCAATATCGCCTGTTGTGCATGCAATTTGAAGCGGAGTTCCTTCATCATTTGGGTTTGATGGATTTGCTTCAGCTTCCAAAAGGAATTTGACAATATCATTATTTGAACATTGGCAAGCGCGATGTAAAGGAGAGCAATTGTACTTATCAATGATAGAAATATCAGCTTTGCTTAAATATAAGAATTGTACGATATCTATGTGGCCAAACCAGCTTGCTAATGCAATTGCGGTATAACCTTCTTCAGTAACGAGATTTACATCAGCTTCACGTTTAACTATTTCCTCTACTAGATCGTAATATCCATGTTTTGACGCAAAATGAAGGGCAGTCCAGCCTTTATTATTTGCCTGATTTGGATTTGTACCAGAATCAAGCAAAAATTTCAAGCAATTCATGCTTCCATATGATGCGCATATATGAATTAAGTTGAAAGTTTGAGAATGAAAATCAAATATTTCTACATCTGGAATTTTCGTTTGTAATTTCGGTCCTTTTGTTAATTCACGTGCTAACAACTTAAGATTGTCTGTTTTACAGCAATGAACACATAGTTCAATATCAGTGAGCATAAAAACGTATTTTTGAGTAAAAAAAATTAAAACTCCCCAAAAATAAAAAAAAATTAATTCCCCCTTGAAAAATTTAAAATGTATTCATCTTCTTCAGTTCAAGACATGCCTGATTTCCAAAGAGAAACCAAAGAAATCATGGCATCAATTAGACTGCAAGAAGATGAAATTAAAAGTAATAGAAAAGAATTATTTGAATCAATTAAGAAAACTCAAGAAATGAAGTGTATTTATTCATTAAGTTCAGGATATTTCCTTCACATTAATGATAACATCCAACAAATTGCTAATCTTCCATTTGTTCAGCCAGGAAAATTCGTAGTATACAAAAGGTTAATTGAACTGACAAATTTAGGCTCATTACGATCCGAAATAACCCGATTTTTATCAGGTATTTACAAAAATAGTGACAAATTACCTTTAATTTTTGCGAAATTACAAACAACATCTATTAAAAATCCTGTTCCTTTTCTACCAAAGCATACAGAACCAAATCATTTCTTAGCTTTCTCGACTCTACCAGCATTATTTGGTCATTGTTGGACATCTGATTTAAGATATTCTTATATAAACTTTCTAATCAAAATATGCGAAAAAATTCCATACGACAGTATTCAACATCATTGGATTCTTGATTGTTTTAAGCATTACATTCATTCCTCAGATATTCAGACTTTTTTGAGAGAATCTATTGGAGATTATCTCTTAGATTTGATACGAGATACAACACTTGACTTAATACAGCAAGCAGGACAAAAAGAACTATACGATCGAATAATTCCAGTTATTGAAAAAATAATTTCAAAAATGAATGCAAATATCGATTTAATTCCCATGGATGTTCGTTTACTCATTCGTAAATTTGCCGATTTGGCACTAGATGATGCTCAATGGCTCAAAAGAGTTGAAGATCTTTTTTGTAAAAGTATTTTAGCGCCAGCAATCAGTTTTCCTAAGGTTTATGGGGTAATTCTTCCAACCATTAACCTAAAAGTTGCAAGTAATGGAGTTGCAAGAGCATTACAAATTATTGCCAGTCTTTTATTGGTTATTCTTCATCCAGGACAAGCAGAATTCCGCTATCCAGGCTTAGATGTCGAGAGACTATCCCGTCTTCCATTCGAATCCTTCCTTCGCTCTATGATGAACTTTAAATGCGAATCACTTAGCGGATTAACATGTACAAGCCTTTTACCATTACTCGGAATGCATAATACTAGTTTTATATTCAATGTCCAAGACGTTGCAATGCTTGCACATGTTCTAAAGATTGTTTCGAAAGAAGATCAAGAAATTGCGAAACAAGTTTTGCCATTAATTTCAAAAATACCAGTTGACCAGCCTCTAGACATGACATTCTTCAGATATGATCTATGGGATGTCCAAAATATTGGTGTAGAAAGGCCAGACATCAAAGTAAATACTCTTGAAAGTGCAAAAAACAAAGAATTACAAGCGATTTCTAAGTCTATCTTCAATTTCTTGCCACAATCACAAGAAATACCTTTCTCTCCTCATGAACTCTTCCCTTTCCTTAAGTTCCATGCTGAACATGCTGCTCTTGGCTTGAATACTCATGAAATTTGTTATATAAACAATGTAATGCATAAAATGAAGGAAGTTCCCCACGAAAAAAGTGACGAAATAATCGTCGCGCTTGAAGATGAAATGCGAAGGCACAAAGCATATTCAAATAGGAACTCCACATTGTTAACACAGATAGCTATATCACTTGCAGAAGTTAATAGCTTAAAGGCATCGTATATTGCGAAGATTGATGACCAATTACCTTTTCTTCATGAAAAATTATTCGAATTATTCCATGATAATGAGAATTCCGAAGAAAGGTTTAAGTCAAAATTTGTTTCAATAGTCATATGCCACTCATCCTTTGTTGATTTCTTCACAGAAGAGTTGGCAAAGTTGAAAACTTTCCTTGATCCAATTGCATCTTTCGCGTTTAGTGGTGTTGCGAAACTAATGCATACATATATGCTTCAGAAGATTGGTGTAAAGAAGTTTAGTAGCTACCATACACTATACCAAGCAACAGATGAACTGTTTGAAAGATTATCTGACAAAGATCTTCTTGATTTATGTATAACTGAGCATACAGATGAAAATGTTAGCTATTTTATTAAGAACCAAGAGAGTTTTGTCTATGCAACGAACATTTTCTTCGATGCAAATTTTATTGAAATTCCAATTGAAGCAATAAAGTATATTAGGAATGCATTTGGCATTATTAGAAAGACTTATGCTTTGTATAATGGAAATCAACCAACAGATTCCGAGATTGAACCAATAATTTATTATTTATTGCTCAAATCTCATGTTAGTAACATTTTTACTTTTGTTAAATATCTTGAACATTTCCTTGATGGATATCCTTGCAATACAGTCATAACTTCTGAAGAATATGGTGCATTGAAATCTTTAGTTAATTATATCACTTATTTAGATTCTAAAGTTTCCACAAAATTGATTTAATGTTTATTTGTTTTGTTTATTTTATATAAAAAATTAGTTATATATTTTGCGATAAATTATTGATTTCTTTAGTCTATTGAATTATCCATTCATCCAAATTGGTCATTTTGTAAAAGAATATGAACTCCTGCCCTTCAATTTATTTAGACTTCTAGAAATATAAAAATAATTGTGCATTTTGCTACTTGAAAAGTTCTACGTTTGAAGATGAGATATTATTACATCAATATTGCAATTGTTTTGTCTTTGAATGAATAATTCTGATCTCAGAACTTAAATATTAAAGATTCATTAAATATCAATATAATTTAACTTTACATAAGGAGGGGTTTGATCTATGGTTCCTATAGTTGTATGATTATTTGGTTATAATTCTGATCTTCAGAGTTGAATTGTATTCGCGAAATAATTTCTTGAATATATGAAAAAATTTAATGCAAAATGGTACATTGCATTAATAAAAATTTAAATCCTTGTCGAGGTTCATTGATTGTAAAATGGAGACCAAATAAAAATAAAAAAAAATCTTTTCTTTTTTTTCATAATGACTCAGATCGATCAACTCTCTTCAGTTCATCCTATTTTCAAATCCTTTAAGAATGAAATACTGTTCTTCGATCAAGTTGAGAAATTAAACAGACATGGAGATGTTGATATTCGACATTTAGTTGTTCATACAGCTGGCATCTTTCTACTTGAAACAAAACCGCTTATTAGGACACTTTGGATGTCAAGAGTAATACCATTAGCAGATTTACAATATTTTCACGTATCAAATTCAACATTTACCGTAAAATCAGAAAATGATTCATTTACAATCAAATGCAAAATCCATCTAAATGTTGCAGCTCAAATTTATGCATTAAGAAAAGTTTTATTCCCTCAAAATAATAATAATTGCGTTTTTCAAATCGAATCAGACATTTTACACCAATTCGAATCAATCGATATTGATTTTGAACCAGAGTCAATTCTAGGCGAACGATTTTTAGGATATGTTTTCTCTTCAACAATTCAATATAATGATGATTATGTTAAATCTACGTACGGATTACTATGTCCAGACAATAATGTATTTGTTATAAATCCTACCATACTGTCGAATCCCTACATTCTTGAAATAATTTCTTCATTTTCTTGTGGAAATGAGGTTACAGAGATAGATTTCGAGAATTTCGACATTGGACAAGTACTAGATTGCTTCTATATCATTACTCATCAGTCAAAGAATGTAAAAACTTTAGTTTTTCGAGGTATGAATTTTGAAACTCGTCTAAACGATCTAAAGAACTTATTTGAGAACGCTGTACTTAATAACCTTACAGATATCATATTCGAAACATGTCGATTTTGCCATCCTGACGTTCATTTGTTTTTCGACGCATTTAGCTCATTAAAAAGCTGTGTAAAATGCTTACACTTCTCGAAATCACTCATTACATCATACGCTATAGATTCTATCTTCCAAATGTTATTCTTTTCCTCATGTTTTCACTCATTACAATCATTATCAATCAGAGACTTAACGAATGCAGAAGATTTATCAACAGGTATATTCCAGCTCTTATGTTGTGGCTGGGTTCTTAAGTCAAAATGCATGAAACACCTCAATTTCAGTAATTCGAGTATGAACATCGGAAAACTTCTCTCAAACATCAAAGATATCGATTGCGGCGTACTCGAGCTTAATCTTAGTTACAATACCTTTACGAATTTAAGCGGAAATTTGATTCTTCCTGGTTTGACAAATTTGATATTGAACCATTGTACATTTGTAAGCGATGCACTGTATGAATTGTTCAGTTGTCTATCCCAGCAAAAGCATTTGGCCCCATTAACCATTGATGTTTCCGATGCTTTATGCACTCCTTCGAGTTTTGCTTCGTTTTACCAAAACTCTCCGAAATTAATAATCCCTGAACTTCAAACTCTCATTTGGGATGGAAACCAAGTCTCCGGAAAGAATATTGAGCCTTTTATGAAATTTCTGAAGAACCAACCAAACCTCTCAAATTTGAGTCTCAATTTTTGTTTTGATAAAAAAGACCATGAAACAACATTGATTCAATTATCTGATTTATTCAAAACATTGAGATTCAATCAATTATGTATTGCTGCTAATGGAGATCATGGATTTGGCCAGCCATTGACGACATGTTTAGAATATCTTTTGAATAACTCGAAGAATCTTCATCTTCTTGATATTACTAATCAGAGAGTTACTGACGTTGGCTTATTCCTTGTTTTAAGACAACTTCCTCCTTCTTTAGAAGCATTTTATTTCGAAGGATTTAATCCTTCAACTGTAGACTCTATTTGTACCATTCTTTCTCGTGTTACACAAAGTAATACAATCAAGAAATCATTACTTCCTGAACTAGACATTGTAAATCTTTATACAAAAACACCTCTTGACAAAAGATCAGATATGAAAAAGAAAATTCATCAAGTTCGTGAAGATTTTATCCATAAATACGGATTTCCATCAAAAGAAAGAATTCCAAGGACACAATTAGATACTTCAATTAATTTCCAATCTGCGAAATCATCAAAACTCACTAAAGAAGTTGTTGATAAGGAAATAATGAAACAAATCATGAAAGAAGAATCAGACTATATAATTATTGATGATTATATGATTTCTTATTTCGAAGAATTGAGTGGAGTTGTTGGAACTTGTCCAATCATTCCTCTCGTGAATGAGATGCACCAGAGAACTTCTCTCAAGAGTTTATTGGGAAATCTCGGTCTTAATTAAGGATCATTCTAGATTGGAAAAAAAGTAAAAAAAAGATGATCAAAATTCTCTCAATTTTCCACTTTTCCACTCTAAAATAACCCTTAATTAATTTTTTATTTGTATATTGTTTGTGATTTTATAAAATATTTTGTTATATTTTTTGTTATTCAAGGAATAAAGTTCTCGTTCTGCCAAATAAAGCTATAGAGAAGCTTATGGATGTTTAACAATTAGTAATTAATAAGATATTTTAAAATGACACAATCTCTCTTTATATATTTGAAGAATAGAAAAATGAATTTCAGATGAGAAAGAAGATTTTATCATCTATCATATGACGCAAGTATTAATAAAAAAGACAAAATTGAAAGAGTAACTCATCATAATGTTGAATTCAATAACAATAAAAATATCTATTTTTATTCTTTTTACAATAAGTAGACATCAATGAAAAAAATAGAAATGGAAAGACTCCACTTCATGTTGCAACAAATAGATATTCTATATAAATGGCTTGACTTCTTATTTCATATATCAATTCTAAAAATAATAGAAAGAGATATTATTACATTTATCAAAAAATAAGAATTCAAGCAATTGAAAAAAGAAATGTTTCCATAATATTAGCTAAAAATAGATTTTTGGTCATGAAAATTACTTTCATTGAACAATATTATACAATTAATGAGATATGGTAATTTTTATGATTTCTTGAATTCAATAATGGCCAAATCAATGGAATAAGAAAAAATTCAGAGGGATGTAGTGTATTCTATACCTATTTCAAATGATATTTTTCATTATTATTTAAATGTCAACTTGGAAATCTCCGGATCAGTATTTTGGACGAATTACTTTCAATAATGCTACTCGCGAAGCAATAGCAATAAAGTGTATATTCAACAATAACTTCGTGGGAAGTACGAATGGTGGCCTTTTATACGCAGATAATCCAAATTTGAAAATAAGTTTCGATTCATGCGAATTTATTGGCTGCCAGACACAACATACAAATGGTGGAGTCATGTACATAAATAGTGCTGATTCCGTAGTTATGAAATCTTGTTGTGTAATACAAGCAAGAGCAAAAACATCCCAATTTGCAGCAGTTCATTCGAACACATGTAATATTACGAATACTATCATTTCTAGATGTGGAAATATCTCTAATAACTTTGAAGTAATGACAATTTTGTCAAATGTTAACATTTCAGTCATTAATCATTCATCAAACGCAGTAACTGAAATCTCCTTCGCCAGTATTTACAAATCAAACTCATGTATCATTAAAAATTTAGTTTCTATCAACAATTCCGTTGAATCAAATCCTCAATTTCTTATAAGATCATCGACCAATGTTCTTCTTGATCGCATAATTTTCATAAATTGCAGGAGTACATACAAGGATCCCGGTGTAGCATGGTTTATTTACTCAGAAATTACAATATATAATTCGAAATTTGGACGAAATTTCGCAAATTCAGTAAAGCTGACAAATTCTACTTGTTCACTAATCAAATGTCAGTTTGATGAACAGATTTCGGAAAGTTTCTCGATTTCAGATTCGAATTTTAACACAAGAGTAGAAATATCAATTTCTGAAACAGATTTGACTTGTAAACTTATATTTCCTGTTCATAAAATCAACTGGGAAAAGCCACAATCGATAGATTTATCAAAATACACAAGAATCGAAATTTCTAACTCGATTTTTGCCAACATTCATAGCAAAACACATGGAGGTGCAGTTTGTGTAGACAATGTATATTCAAATATGTTAATTACTCGTTCAATTTTCAAAAATATTAATTGTGAAACGAATGCAGGCGCAATTTTCAACATTGCCAAGTATGGAAATAGTTCTATTTATACATCATGCTTTAATAACGTGTCTGCTTTCAAATACGGCACAATGTTTGTATCATTATCAAATTTCTTCAAAATTCAGGACGCTGCGTTTGTAGAAAATACGGCCTACAAATATTGTGTCGGTGTTGTTGCAAGTTCTTTAATTTATCAAGCTAATTTCACGAAAAATTCTGCAACAGATTCTCCAGGCGTTAATTCGTATAATTACCTATCCCTAACATTTGTTTATTGGTCCAATTCCACAGGATCCGGTGATATAAACTTTCTTTCTGGCGATGAAAACAATATTATGATTTCTCGCAGTTTCTACATCAACTCGGCTTCAACGGATAACTGTTCTTTGTTCAGTGCCAATAAGAAAACAATCGTTGTTATTAGTTCAACGTTTTTCAATTTGATAAATTTGACATTATTCTCTGGAAATTCAATGGTTTCGTTCAACAACTGTACATTTGATGTTTTTGACTGCCAGGCATCATACAAAGCTACTTTATTAACAATAACTGAATTTCCAATTATTTCATATGACAGCAAAGATTATTGTATACCTCCGAAAAGGTTAGGACCTCTTGGTATATCCCTTATTGTTATCAGTGTCGTGATTGTAATTGTTGGAATTGTTATTGCGATATTATTTGGCAAAAAGAAAAAGAAACGTAATAAATTCGTATTTCAATACGCTGATTCTGAAGTGTCTATCATTTCCGAATCAAATGCTGATGCTTTGTTACCTTTATATCAAAATTGAAAATTTTTCTTTTTTTACTTTATAGAGTTGTTTGTTTTATAAAATTTCTGTTTGAATTTTTAGTTTTTATTGTTAGTGAATATTAATTTCCAACAAAATTATCAAATTTAATTATTGAGATGAAATAACAGAAATTATATTAGACAGTATGATTACAATTATTACTAATAGTGTTGTTGCATTTAAATGAGAGAAAAAAAAATTGTCCTTTTCTCAGGCCAGAAACGGATGATGTAAACACTTGTAAACATCTTTGATCAGACATATTCAAGCCTCGGAAGTTAAAGATTAACCTTCTTTGTCATATTGAGCAAAAAAATTAAAAATATTAAACATATAATATATTTACAAACAAAAAAGTAATAATAATGAAACAAAGTATTAGCGCCTTCTATGGGAAATGTAACGCATTCTTTGCATATCCCAAATATTCGACAGTTCTGAAGGTCTGTTAAATATATCTATTTTTCGAACATTTATTGATCCATATTTATCAGATGAATAATAACTATAAACGGTTATAATATTGCCATTGAGAATTTTCTTCAATTCAGTTTCTGTTTGCTTGAAACAAATATTAGATGTGCCGAAATAGTACACAGAAGGATGGATTGCCTAGAATGAGTTATAAAATAATGTTACAAATTCATACAGTATAAGTACATTGTGAAAATGCAGATGAAAAGATGTACGAATTATCAAAGATCTCAACATTGTTAAGAGATGTGCAATTATAAAATGCATAATAACGGACAAGGGTTCCAGGGAAAATCCTTATACTGGTGATATTACAAAATTGAAAAGCATAAGAATTAATGGTTAATCCTGATCTTTGAATAGAAACATCTGCTAATGAAGAGCAACGAGAGAAACAATATTCTCCAATTGTTTCTGTGTTGTAAGGTATGACAATATATTTCAAGGATGAACAGTTTTCAAAACAACCATTTCCAATTGAAGTTAAATAATGTGGTAATATGATTTCCGTTATACTTTGGCAGCCACTGAATAAATATTCAGGAAATTGTCTAAGGTTAATATTAGATGAAAAATTAATTATATCAGGTAAATCTACAATTTGATTAAGTTCATTGTATCCATTAAAAGATGAAGAGTCAATTCTTTTTAATGATGTACATCCAGCAAATGCATTTTTACCGATTTCTACTATTGAATCTGGAATTATAACTTGAAGAAGATTAAAATTGTTTGCAAATACATTATCCTCAATTGAAACAGGTGGAACTCCATTGATATTTTGAGGGATGTTAATAATTCTCAGATTAGAATCTAATACTTTAATAATTTTGAAACTTTCATCTATATATTCATACTCTAGATTATCACTACTATTTAAATTAATAATTCTGGCAAAACCATTTCCAACATGTCAGTAGTAGGATAGGACGGGTTATGTGACTTTTTTTGTAAACGTAAGAATTCATACAATATTGAACGATTTTGTATCATTATTTTTAACATTAATTTTAAACATAATTTATTTTTTATTCTTACATAAATGACCCAACAAGTAAAACCAGATAAAATAGATTATCGAATTTTAGAGGATGGTGTTCCTGTTTATATTCAAAGATTTAAAGGGAAGCAATATTATAGAATTCTTAATCCCGAATACATAAAACATTTATTTAAAAAGGAAGACTGTGAATTATTAAACGTTAATGAATATGAAACCAATAAATCAAAATTGAAATATAAATATATTGGAAGTGATGAAAGATGTAAAGATAAAAATAAAGTTTATACAGTTTCATATAATGAATGGAAAACCAATAAGATAAGAAAACATTTAGGAGATTATGGGAAATGTTCTGAATTCTTCAAATCTAGTATGTACGAGAGAGTAAAAGAAATTAGAAATAATTATTTTCATGAGTAAAAATAAACTTTAAAAATAAATTGAAACTAATGATTATTTGAATTTATGAAATTAATTATTTGATTCATTCGCTCTTCAATAATTTCTATTCTTTTTGTTAAATCATCTATTTTCATTAATGAGGTGATTCTTGATTGAGGAATGGATTTCAAACTAACCACTCCTTTTATTTTTGAAATTTTGAATCCATCAACTTTAAACATTTTATTCAATTTACATGTTGTCAATTCTTCAAATAATTCTTTATTATTAGCATAATAGTCATTAAATTCTTTAACAGATGAAAAAACAATTGGCAGTTTTATGTATAATTACATGAAATCAAACAATCTACCAGTTGACCAGAAACAGAGAAAATTAACTCAGTTAGCATCAACACACAACCAATATCAACCATTTTCTTCTTATTATCTTTGGTATCTAATAGACAAATTTCATTTTATCATCGATGACATTCAATCAATTTTAACATTTAAGAAAAACACTTGTTTTAATGAATTTGCGAACAAATTCATGAACGAAAGACAAAAGGCTGAATTAGAAGGAAATAAAGGAAAAAGTTTATTTTGCAAGATTTCACTTAATGGATCATATGGTTACGATGCAATGAATACACAAAATTACGCAAAGACTAAAATAATGAATGCACAGAAGGCACGCGTTGCATGTATGTCAAATAAGTTTAAAAACATAAGAGAAATAGGAGAGGATACATATCAAGTGATGCTTAAAGATAGATTTTATAGATGTGATACATGTTTACAAGAGGCATTCTTCACTTTAGATAATGCTAAATACTGGTATTTGGTTTTCATTTATGATTTTATGTATAAATGCATGGATGTTAATCGTTTTCATTTCATTGAAGGTGATACTGATTCATCTTATTGGGCAATCGCTGGCGATCCAAGTCTTCCTAACACTCAAGCATTTCAGGCGATTGTAACCGATAAACAATTTTATGATAAAAACATTTTCAAATTCGCACCTTTTGATTTCTTTTGTTTTGATGAGAAATTTAAACCTAAATTAAAGAATAAAGCTGAAGAAAAAGCACATGAGAAGAAGTTATTGGGTTTAGCAATTGAGAAACAAGGTGATAACATGGTTGCTTTATGTCCTAAATGTTATACATCATTCAACGGTTCAATTGATGGAAGTGATTTTAAAAAGATTGCACAAAAAATGAAAGGTGTTAGTTTACGACAAAATAAGCAATTAACACCTAAAAAATATTTGGATATAATAAATGATAAAGTGATATTTGATGGTCAGAATATTAATTTACAACTTAAAAACGGGTCAATGACTCGCTTAACAATCGGTAAGACTGCATTAACAGGAGCACACACTAAGGCTGTATGTTGTGAAAATGGATGTTGTATGCCATTTATTTAATACAATTTAAAATTTTATTTTTAATAAAATGCCACAGAAGAGACAAAAGGAACCAAATCGATTTATACCAAATGGTTTTAACTTTCAGATTCCAAATAATCAACCACAACGAATTTTTTAAATCCCATCACAGCAACAACAACCGCCACCATTTGATACCGTTTTAAAAGAAGGAACCGTTAATGATGGGATTCAATATGTAAATAATGGTTTTGATACTATGATTCAAAGAGGTAGGCACCCTTAAAACATTGATTTTATTTTTATATAAATGGATAACGTAGATTTAAAAATTTTAATTGCTGATTTAGTATTTAATCAAAATTTTCTTGATTATTATGATTTAAAAGCATATCTCCAAAAATATGATAACAATATAACGGGTGATGATATGGATTATTATTATCCATATTATAAAAATGAAATTTTGAAATATCATGATAGAATAATTTCTGAAATTAAAGACAAAATTAAAAATAATGAATATTCAAAGGGAAAAACTAAATCACAACTTAAACAGTTGAAAGATTTCAAAAATAAAGTATTAACAGAAGAAGATATTGATGAATTATATAAATTATATAATCCTGAGCCACAAAAACCAAAGCCAAAGGAACAAAAACAAAAGGTGCAAAACACCCAGGTCCTTCAGACCATAAATGAAGCACAAGCTTTAATATATGATTCATTAGTTAAACCATATTCAGCCCGACTTTTAAATGAAGATCAACTTTTGGAATTCATCCTTCAACATAAACTCGAAGCGGGAAAGTATATCAAACCTTTATATACAGCATATTTAAAACAAATGAATAGAATACATCCAGAATTAATGAAAGGAAAATCAACAACTAAAACTTCATCATCCAAAATCAAAGCAGATAAAATTAAACCACTTGCAACACCAAAACCTCCAACGACAGTACCGCCTCCTCCTTCAGTTAATCCTTCATCATTCACTTTATTATATCCATTTCAAACATTAAAGAAGCAAAAAGATTTTAAAAAGGATTTCAAGATATTAAATAAACCAATTGACCCGAAAATTCAACCATTAAAGGAAAAATTTAGTCGACCTTCATTTGCTCCATATCCATATTCATACGAAATTGATCATCTGGAATATTCAAAAGGAAACGTTACTTATTTATTTGCCATTAACATTAACACTAGATATTTATATTGCATTCCGGTGAAAGGGAAAACAGAACAGGAAACAAGAAGAGCTATTCAATACTTACTAGATCATGAAAGAGTAGATAATATAAGGGGTGATGGTGATAAAGGATTTCAGGCAACAATGACTCATTATTTCCCACAAATTAATTTTTACTTTTCATCCTCTCCATATACGTTTCATAATAAAATAGTTGATGCGGTAATGAGAACTCTTAGAGATGCGTTAGGGGTTAACGGTCAGATATACTGGGATGGAAATCATGACTCCATCATACAACAGTTAGTATATTATTACAATAATACATGGCATAGAACTATAAACATGAAACCAGTGGAAATGAAAAATGATATTTCAAAAGAATGGGAATATATTAGAAAGCAAATGGAAAAGTTAAATGATGTTAAACGTGAACAAATTAATTCGGGGCTCATGAATTTTAAACAAGGGAATAAAGTTTTAATTCATCTCGATTATGGAAAAACTGATAAATCAATGACAAAAAGAAGACGAAGATTTGACACA